GTAAATCTGATCTTCTTGCATTCCTCTAATGATTTCGTGTCATTATTACTTATTTTGTATAATAGATTTATACGTTTATTTTGTTTTACAGTAATAAAGCTTTTCAACTTTGAATAAATGAAGGATTAGAGATGACTGGCTAAATCTGATTGGATTAGGATGCCCTTTTTTGGTGAAGACTTTTAGGATTACTTGGAAGACTGCAAATTAGCAAATGTTGTGCCCATTCACAAGAAAGGTAGTAGGGAATAGTCGGGCAACTATAGGCCAGTAAGCAATACTTCAGTAGTTGGGCAAGTAATGGCAACCATGTTAACGGATAGGATTGTTGAACATCTAAAATCACATGGATTTCAAGATCACAGACAACATGGGTTTACTTCAGGGAGATCGTGCCAAACTAATCTTATTGATATTTTTGATTGGGTAACTAAAATAATAGATCAGGGTGGTGCAGTAGACATTGCTTACCTAGATTTCAGTAAGGCTTTTGACACTGTTCCACATAGAAGGCTTATCAATAAACTGAAGTTTGGATTCCAATATTGTTGAATGGGTAGGGCAGTGGCTAAATGACAGGCAACAGAGGGTTGTAGTCAACGGAGTATATTCAAAGCAAGGTCTAGTTACCAGTGGGGTACGTCAGGGATCTGTACTTGGACCCATTCTCTTTAATATTTTTATTAGTGATATTGCAAAAGGTCTTGATGGTAAGGTATGTCTTTTTGCTGATGATACTAACATTTGCAACAGGGTTGATGTTCCGGGAGGGATAAGCCAAATGGCAAATGATTTAGAAAAATTAGAAAAATGGTGAGAATTGTGGCAACTGACATTTAATGTGGATAAGTGCAAGATAATGCATCTTGGACGTAAAAACCCAAGGGCAGAGTACAGAATATTTGATACCCTACTAACCTGAACAACTGAGGAAAGGGATTTAGGAGTAATTATTTCTGATGACTTAAAGGTAGGAAGACAATGTAATAGAGCAGCTGGAAATGCTAGCAGAATGCTTGGTTGTATAGGGAGAGGTATTAGCAGTAGAAAGAGGGAAGTCCTCATGCCATTGTACAGAACACTGGTGAAACCTCACTTGGAGTATTGTACACAGTACTGGAGACCGTATCTCCAGAAGGATATTGATACCTTAGAGAGAGTTCAGAGAAGGGCTACTAAACTGAGAGGGTAGTGGATGCATGGAATAGGCTTCCAGCTGAAGTGGTAGAGTTTAACACAGTGAGGGAGTTTAAGCATGCGTGGGATAGGCAAAAGACTATCCTAGACTTAAGATAAGGCCAGGGACTAATTAAAAGTATTTTGAAACATTGGGCAGACTAAATGGGCCAAATGGTTCTTATCTACCGTCACATTCTATGTTTCTATTGCATTATGCATTTGTTTTTAAATTGCTGACATTTGTCAATTGTGGATATTTGTGTATATGCTGGGATGTCTCTTTACCATCAAACAGAGATGTCATCTGTTTGCCCATATGCACAGGTTGTCGAAGCAACTCCCATTGATCGGTTTGATCAAGTTCTGAAATCACATGATCTGGATAGGTGTTTTGGTGCCTCTAGTATCCCTTTAATTCTGCCTGTCTTAATTTATTTCCTACACAGATTAATGATTAACCAAAATTATTACATAAATAAATAAAATCTTTAAGATTTAGGACCAAAAATCGTCCAAAAAAATCAAATAAATGTATATATATCCTCTGACGGAATGACCAAAAAAAAATATTGATATTGATGGGGAAGATGCTTTTCTACAGAAGCAGAAGTGGACAATGATCTGCAGGAATTCAGTTTGCAGAATATGTCTGTGTACAGGCCTATATGTTTTATTTTTTCTCCAGATCAGAGATATACTGATGTGCTGATGTAAATCTCAGAATCATTGCTACACTCTGTCTATAAAGAGCAAACTGGTTGGGATCTGAGAAGGAAATGATGAACTAGCAGCTAAGAAGCCGCTAGTCTGCAGAAATATGGAAAGAGAAAAAAATTATTTAGGTTTAAAAGTTCCCACCATCACCTGTAGCAAGTGTGTTAAAAAATGATAAGCTTAGAGTCATGTCTACAAATGCTCGCAATTTAGGGAATAAGATCCATGAACTTGTGGCAATAATGGCAACTGACAGTGTAGATTTAGTCGCTGTTACTGAGACATGCTATAATGAGAAAAATGACTGGGACATAGCAATACCAGGGTACTCTTTATATAGAAAAGATAGGGAAGGCAAGAAAGGGGAGGGGTGGCCCTGTATGTGAAGGATAGCATAAAACCTAGCCTAATAAAAGTTAGTGAGGCAAACAGAGTCCGTTTGGGTTACGTTAGAATTTGGTAATCACACAGTAACTCGTGTAGGTGTGATTTATAGGCCCCCAGGACAAATTGAAGAGTTAGATAATCTACTAGTTGAGGAAATAGCTAAAATGACAATGAAGGGGGAAGTTATCATCATGGGTGACTTTAATCTTCCTGATGTAAATTGGAAAACAAAATTAGCTACTTGTGCCAGGAGCACAAATATTCTAAACTCCCTACTGGGATTGTCTCTAAAACAAGTTGTTGAGGAGCCAACTCGTAAAGAGGCCATACTATATTTAGTGTTAACAAATGGAAATTTGGTATCAGATATTACTGTAGGCGAAAGTTTAGGATCCAGTGATCATCAGTCAGTGTGGTTTAATATAAGAACAGTGACTGAGTCACACCACACAAAAATAAAAGTTTTAGACTTTAGAAAAACAGACTTTTCTAAAATTAGTAGAAAAGTCATTATCAGACTGGAGCAATTTAAATGGAGTCCAAGAGAAATGGGATTATTTAAAAGTTGCACTATTGAAGGCAACAGAAAATTGCATTAGGCTTGTCAGTAAAAGCAAAAAATTCAAGAAACCACTGTGGTACTCCGCAGATGTGGCCAAATTAGTAAAAAAAAAAAAAATTAGCATTTAGGAATTATAAAAAAACCCAGAGTGAGGAAGACAAAATAATCTATAAGATTAGGCAGAAAGAGGCTAAGCAAGTTATAAGAGCTTCCAAATCACACACAGAAGAGAAAATAGCACAGTCAGTAAAAAAGGGGGATAAAACATTTTTTAGATACATAAATGAGAAAAGAAAAGTAAAACAAGGATTGGTTAGATTAAAAACAAAAGAAGGAAGGTATGTAGAAGAGGATAAAGGTCTAGCTGACTGCCTCAATGAATATTTTTGTTCTGTATTTACAGACGAAAATGAAGGAAAGGGACCTCAGTTGAGAAAAAGGATAAATGAGTCATTTATTACACGTGAGTTTACAGAGGAAGAGGTTCTATTTCAACTGTCAAAAGTAAAGACAAATAAGTCAATGGGACCTGATGGAATACACCCAAAGCTATTAAAAGAGCTTAGTGGTGTACTAGCAAAACCATTAACAGATTTATTTAACCAATCATTGTTAACAGGAGTAGTCCTAGAAGATTGGAAGTTAGCGAATGTTGTGCTCATTTACAAGAAAGGTAATAGGGAGGAGTTGGGCAACTATAGGCCAGTAAGCCTTACTTCAGTAGTGGGGAAAGTGATGGAAACCATGTTAAAGGATAGGATTGTTGAACATCTAAAAAAACATGGATTTCAAGATCAGAGACAACATGGGTTTACTTCAGGGAGATCATGCCAACCTAATCTTATTGATTTCTTTGATTGGATAACTAAAATTATAGATCAGGGTGGTGCAGTAGACATTGCTTACCTAGATTTCAGTAAGGCTTTTGACACGGTTGCACATAGAAGACTTATCAATAAACTGCAATCTTTAAGTTTGGATTCCAATATTGTTGAATGGGTAAGGCAGTGGCTGAGTTAATGGAATATATTCGAAGCTTGGACTTGTCACCAGTGGGGTACCTCAGGGATCTGTACTTGGACCCATTCTCTTTAATATTTTTATTAGTGATATTGCAGAAGGTCTTGATGGTAAGGTATGTCTTTTTGCTGATGATACTAAGATATGTAACAGGGTTGATGTTCCAGGAGGGATAAGCCAAATGACAAATGATTTAGGTAAACTAGAAAAATGGTCAGAATTGTGGCAACTGACATTTAATGTGGATAAGTGCAAGATAATGCATCTTGGACGTAAAAACCCAAGGGCAGAGTACAGAATATTTGATAGAGTCCTAACCTCAACATATGAGGAAAGGGATTTAGGGGTGATTATTTCTGATGACTTAAATGTAGGCAGACAATGTAATAGAGCAGCAGGAAATGCTAGCAGAATGCTTGGTTGTATAGGGAGAGGTATTAGCAGTAGAAAGAGGGAAGTGCTCATGCCATTGTACAGAACACTGGTGAGACCTCACTTGGAGTACTGTACACAGTACTGGAGACCGTATCTTCAGAAGGATATTGATACCTTAGAGAGGGTTCAGAGAAGGGCTACTAAACTGGTTCATGGATTGCGGGATAAAACTTACCAGGAAAGGTTAAAGGATCTTAACATGTACAGCTTGGAGGAAAGACGAGACAGGGGGGATATGATAGAAACATTTAAATATATAAAGGGAATCAACACAGTAAAGGAGGATACTATATTTAAAAGAAGAAAAACTACCACAACAAGAGGACATAGTCTTAAATTAGAGGGACAAAGGTTTAAAAATAATATCAGGAAGTATTACTTTACTGAGAGGGTAGTGGATGCATGGAATAGCCTTCCAGCTGAAGTGGTAGAGGTTAACACAGTAAAGGAGTTTAAGCATGCATGGGATAGGCATAAGGCTATCCTAACTATAAGATAAGGCTAGGGACTAATTAAAGTATTTAGAAAATTGGTTAGACTAGATTGGCCGAATGGTTCTTATCTGCCGTCACATTCTATGTTTCTATGTTATGCAACTGCAAAATAGTGATCCAAAAGTAACAAACGCACGATACATAAAATATAAGAGAGGTTATATGTAGCACAGAGATTCATTTCCTATAATATTAACACAGTAAGATACCTGAATAAATCTGTAAAAAAAAACACAAGGAAACAAAAACAAAGACATGAAGGGATTCATCTGTGTGCTTTAATTTACAGTTTGGAAAAGAAAACAAAATGTGCAATGGCTATTTTAGATTGTGGACAGTATATTCATTAATTAGTAATGTGTGTGGAAGTTGTACATGCAAAATATGTGCTCCTTTTACGGATTTATTCTTTTTAAACAGAGTGGATGTAAGGATGATATACTGGGACCGTAATTGCTAGAAGAGATAGGAATGTATATTGATTTGAAGGGGCACTCCAAGCACCATAACCACTGCAGCCAGCTGTATGGTTATGTCACCAGGAGAGCCTTGGTGCTGTCTCAGTGTAATTTATCAAACCATTTTGGTCCTGCTTAGCTCCAGCAGGAGAATCCTGGAAGCAGGAGTCTAAAACAGTTTGATAAATTAACCTAAAACTGTACCAGAGCACTGCTGACACCAGAACCACTGCAGCACACTGCAGTGGTCGTGATGCTTGAAGAGTTCCTCTACGGCAGATCTGCTCAATAGGTAGATCCCCAGATATAGTAGAACCACAATTACCATGATGCTTTGCATGCCTTTTGAATGCATTTCAAATGACAAAGCGTCATGGGAGTTTTAGTTCTACAACATCTGGGGATCTACCTACTGAGCAGCCCTGCTTTACGTTTGGAAAAGGAAGGATTTATTTTACAGTTTAATCTGTTTTTCATGGAAACTCACAAATCCTTTTGATAGTATTGTTTATTGCTGAAGAGAGGATTGGGAGTTTAAATTCATGTTCCTTTATAAGGTACTCATCAGTGAATCATCAGTTCAAAGGAATTCAAAGTGAATTTTAATTATTTTCAGATTTTAGCCTAGAATTTGAAATTTTACTTTGAATTCACTTTGAATTCTGAACAAATCAGACTTTGGTGAATAAGCCCATCAGAGATCTGGTAATAGGCAAAGGAAGTGGCTAAACTTGCTCTACACACATGCTAGGTAGTGGGTTTCGGATGGTCTATGATTTTATTGCGTCCTTGAACCAGTTCAGTACTGGTTCTTTATTTTCATTCACCCATTTGATATTTGCTTTAGTCTTCTCTATGGCTTGTTCCAATGCTTGAGCCGATGTCCCAAACCCAGCATCCTGATTATCAAGTTTGAACTGCTCCAGCTGAAAAAAGATATCACAAAATAGCATTGGTGTGATTATCTATACAAGGTTTATTAATCCTATAACCTATGTAGATTTTCACACTTTTAGCTAAACTGCACTTGTCAACATCTACTATTAAAAAAAATAAAATTGTGTCATATAATATACATGTATTCAATGATAGCCCCAAAAGCACTGTAACCCAACATATAGTGGTTATGGTGCTATGGGACTGCAGTCGCTGTTTACCGATTCAAAACTTTTATTGATATTACTAACATGAAAGTGGAACGTCCAGATTAGTAATTGCATTTTAAACAATATATGGATGGCATTTTTCACTTGATGTGCTCAGCCTATCACCATCTTTGAGATTTAGAATTGAGATTATACATTGATATTAATGCAGAAGTGGAATTTTGTCATTAGTAATATGTAAGCAGGGGGCTGGACTGCTCAAAATCAGTTTGACCCAGAATCATGACATGCAGTAGACATGGCTGTTAGACTGCCCCATTACTTTAAACTATTCAATATATGATATTTTTTAATGAGCAAATTTTATTTTCACTTTAGTAAGCATTCATATTTTGTACCTGCTGTAGTTCAAAGTCACTGGCAAATCGTCGAGTCACCCCTTCAATCAAGTTACCAAAAGAGAAAGATGATCCTCCAAACCTAAACAAACAAAGTAAAAATATACAACCTGAGATGAAGTTGAAAATATTGGTTCCATACCCCATACTTGGCCATCAAATTCACGTATGCTATATAGATGCCAATCATAAAATTACACAGGTGTGACTGTGGGATGGAAATTGGAACCTTGCATCCACCATCCATTGAGCATGCAAAGACTAGCAATGACTAAAACCTTCCTGTAGTTGATCTGTGAAATTAACCCCAATTTTGGCTACTGTCCCGGGGTATTCCATCGATTTATAATTTTTTGTAAACTTAACTTGCTGCATTTGTTTACATTTATTCTTCATATTACAAAAGTATGTAGCTACATAGCTGAAAAGAGACTTGCATCCATCAAGTTCAGCCTTCCTCACATATGTTTTTGCTGTTAATAGTTGGTATTTGCTCAACAACCCATCCTTCAATCATTAAATTACATTGGCAATCCTTATTTAAAATCATAATATAATATTTACTTTTAATTATGTTAAACATAGCTTTATTACTTAACATGCTTCTCATTGTAGAAAAGCATCTTCATTGCAGTTGGAAACAGATCAACTACTACAACCAATTCTAAGCTAAAAACTGTAAACTGTGGCCTAAGTAATTAGTATGTGTTTTTTCCAAGTAGTGGATCTGGTAAAATGGAACTGTGGGTCCAGACCAAGGGTTTAACAACCACTTGATCACAGGGTAGTAAAGCAGAGTGACCGTCCCAAAGAGGAACGACACACTAGAAGAAGTTAATAATAGATAATTACTATAATAATAATTACTATAAGTTGACATGCCACCAATAAAACATGCATGTATTCCTGCATTTTTCCCTTTGTGTATGCATCTCAATACAGCTTGCAAAAGCAGCAAATCTCTTGTCTACAGTCCTTGCAAGCCCTCCCTTTTTCTCTTGCAAAGACACTCGTGGCTTTCCTATGCTTCCAATGAGTTGTCACACAGCTCATTGAGAAGGGGAAGGCAGAAATGTGCTAGCACAGTGCACCTGTGACTTCAATTAGCTCTGTAGAGTTAACGGAAGCAGAATAAAACATCCATGGGTATTTGATTGACAGTCGTGGAGGTTTTTTTTTGTCCCCAATTATAATTTCAATTGAAAGCAGCCCTTTTATAAACGGTCACAAATGCTGAAGTGCATTATGTGTGTGCAGCGTTCCTTTAACAAGATATTATGAATTTTCATGGAAAATACTTACTGATCAAACATTTTCTTCCAATTGGCTCTCACAAAGTCCCAAGCAAGACTTTGTCCTAGAACGTTACTGCAAACGCTGTTTATGGTGGAGACAGCATCTTGTCTGCGAATCTTACTTGTGTCCAGTGAATATTCCAGGAGCCTGAAGAAAATTAGAGGGATCATTAAAATAAATGCGTGCATTTCAAAACTTCTGATACAATTAACACAGCCTCTTCAAGGCCACGATCTGTCTTTTATACTGGAGTAGTTCTTGAATCAGGGAATAATAGAAAATGCATATAAAAAAGGATTTTTTTAAATACACCTTCTCTAACATTAAAGGGACACTCCAGGCACCCAGACCACTTCTGCCCATTGGAGTGGTCTGGGTGCCAACTCCCATCACCCTTAACCCTGCAAGTGTAATTATTGCAGTTTTTATAAACTGCAATAATTACCTTGTAGGGTTAAGTCCCCCTCTAGTGACTGTCTATCAGAAAGCCACTAGAGGGACTTCCGGGTTCTAAAAACCCGGAAAATGTTTTAAACTACGCTGGACGTCCTCACGCTATACACAAGGACTTCCAGCATCGCTGGAATCCTATGGGGAGGTCAAATGCGCGTGCGTGGCCATTGCTGCACATGCACATTAGGTCTCCCCTGCTGGCTGCCGTCGGCAGTGGAGGAAAGTGGGCAGAGCCTGATCTAGCACCCAGGGCGCTCGATTCTGGTAAGTTAATTAAGGGGTTTTATCCGAAATCAGATCTGTTTTCCTCGCACTGGAGAGTCCCTTTATTTATTAGAAAACAAAAATTCACTGCATTCTCACCTGTTGAGCAACCAGGGCTCCTTACTGCAGGCCAGAGCAGCCCTCAATTTGTCGGCTTCTTGGGCATTACTGTATGTAGAGAATTTTTCCCATACAAATTCCCATTCAGTTTCTCCTCCCTGAGCTATTCCAGTGCAGTAAATAGTTGATCGCAGATTTGGATGAATGCTAAAATACACACACACACACACACAAAAAATACAGTGAGTATACAATGAAATAACACATACAAACATGGTCATCTGCATCTTGATCACACTTGAGTTCACAAATGTCTTTCCCGCACTTCTGCCTGCCTGCCCTGACTTCATATGCCACTCTGAAGCTACCACAACAGTTTCTCCAAACAGAACACACCTTTTTCCCCTCATACACGGGGTGACTGCATTGCCCTTCTCTCCTACTCTTCAGGTCTCATTTTTAAGATTAATTGCTAATTGGAGACCTTTTTTCTCTATCCCCATAGGTCTAACCACTGCACCACATCATTATTAACAGGGAGTCCCATTGATCCTCAAATTGCCTGTGCCTCTCTGTTCCCACCTTTCTCATGAGGTCATTTACATTTAAGACATACAGTGCCCATCCTATTGGGGGACCCCCGCACTGTATTATGAATTAATGTACCCTCGCTGGGCCTTACATCTTCAAGAAGATTTCCAACATGATTGCCAGTATTGGCTGTTACTGATTTAAATGGATTACTATTCTTTTCTAGTAATTTCTGCAATGAGGTCTCAGTTGTGCTGCTATAATAACAATGTTTCTGGAGCCAAATGAATTTCTGCACATAGTGTAGTATAGTTGTTTGGTCCAAAGCAGATTAATGTGCATCATACTCACAGAGACAGCTACTACTCTGCACATTTGCTGTGTGCCCAGCAAACTTACCTTCTGTTATTTTTCATCCATTCATTAAATAGTTCAGATGCGAATTCAGTGCAATTTGGAATGCCATATCTACACGCAGTGTTTATAGCATTTACTTCATTGTATCTGAAAATGGACACATGTACGTTAATGATTAATATAACAGAAACAAGAAAACAAACAAAAAATTTAATTCTGTAAAATATCTGGTTTCCTACCAACCTCGTAAGCATTTGAAAACAGACATGTAATACCCCCAAAAAGTTCCCTGCACACCTCTTGGGACAGGGAGGAGAGCAGACTGCACACAGAACTGTGCAAGGGGCAGGTCCACCAGTCAAAGGTGGTGGCCCATGCGTCGAGGTGGAGGATTCAATTATCAAAGAGATGGCTCCATTTGAAAAGGGGGCAGGCCTGTCAAAGGTGAGGCAGATTTCAAAATGCAGGACAGGCCCCTGGACATATTTTTGTTGTGACAGCACCCAAAAATGTGTGACTGTTTTTTGCAAATTAAGGACTCTTGGCACCTATGCCAAATAGCTTAAGGGAGCTTCTTGACATTTTAGATCAACCTTAATGTGCTTAGATTTTGTTATTAATTTAGCAATCAGGGCTAAATCAAATTGTAAACATCCCTCAAAAAAGCAGGTCAACCGGTTTCTGATATTTATATTTGGAGAACTCTAAATGTACGTGGTAAAGCACTTGACATACTACACATATATTACATACACATATATTACGTCTACATACTACACCTGCACATACATGTCTATGATTTACACCCTCCCACTGGTTGCTCTCAAGCTTATAAGCACAGTTGTCAGCAACACATATAGTCATGATGTCATGATACTCCAACTTACTGGTCTGTTAGTGAGACTGGTCGAGTTGTAAAGTCTAAAGTTATAGTTTGAAAGTAATCATACAGTGGTTGGACTTGTATCTTCATGTATTCCTGTAAGATTAAAAGCAGACATTTGTATTACTAAGATTTTGTTCCAACTGCAAATCACATATCAAATGGATAAAAATATTTGCACAAGTTTATATAATTTGATAGGAACTTCTGTTAACCTGTAGTTAAGTAGATTAATTTATGTTTTTCATCAATTGTCAGAGATATTGTGTAAGAAAGGAAATACATATATATTGTGGGATAAAACGAATAAATGCATAATGGCAAAAATGCAATTTAGCTAATATACCATGAGGTGCCTAAAATTAAGAAAAACACATTTTTTTTCTCAAAGTTTTGCATTGTCAGCTTAAAGCCAGATAGTGAGTAAATACATATGTGTCAGCAAAGATAAAACAAGTATTTGTGAATTAAAAAGTATTTCTTCAGCAAATACACATACATATTGCTATAAGGTATTTAATTAAGTTTAGTTAAATACAAAATAGTAATATGTCATGTATTCTTAGTTAGCAACATATACAAATATAGAAACACACATATATTTATGTGTGTAATTACCTATACATAGGTTTAACAACATAGGTATGACAACTTAAAATATGTAAATGCAATAACACTTAAGTAAGCATAGACAAATTGGTGTGAGGAACCAAAGTCCAAATTGAGAAAAGAAAAACGCTGACTAAAGAGTAGGGTTGTGCAATGCTCCAGCGGTTTTCCAAGATGAATGTACTCAGGGATTACATTTACTCGTTTGTCTTGGTCTATCTGGATGATATCCTTATTTATTCTCCTGACATTCAGACTCACCACGATCACGTTAGACAAGTTCTGCAGACCTTGTTAAAGAATCAACTTTATTGTAAATTAGAAAAATGCATCTTTGACCAATCTGAAGTACAATTTTTGGGATATAATATCTCTGCCTCAGGGTTTCAGATGGATCCTAAGAAGCTGGAATTGGCTCTACAATGGCCTTTACCCACTGTGTTGAAAGCCATTCAAAGGTTCATTGGTTTTGACGAATATTACAGAAGGTTTATAAAGAGATTTTGTTCAGTAATAGCCCCCATCACCAATATGACATTTATTTATTTATTTATAAAATATTTTACCAGGAAAGATACATTGAGATTTCTCTCGTTTTCAAGTATGTCCTGGGTCCACAAATCATTGCATTGTTACATTAGGTACAACAAAATACAAAAACAATATTAATACACAATAAATACAAAATTTAACATAGAACAGGCAGGAAATATATAATCAACCATTACACGTGCATTCTGTTTTGAGGTATGTAGAGAGGGATCTCTTAAATGACTTTAGGCTTAGGGAAGATTTTAAATTGTGCAGGAGATTGTTCCACAATTGCGGTGCTCTGTAGGAGAAGGAGGATCGGGCCGCTTTCTTTTTGTATTGAGGTAGACTAAGTAAAGTGTTGGTACTGGATCGTAGCTTATAGAAAGTGGGAACAGCTGGGGAAAGCATTTTGTTCAGGTAGGGTGGGAGTTTCCCAGAAAAGCTCTTAAAAACAAGGCAGGAAAGATGAAGGGTGCGTCTGGATTCCAGCGACAGCCAGTTTACTTCCTTTAGCATGTCACAATGATGGGTCCTGTAATTACATTGTAGCACAAATCGGCAGAACGAGTTGTACAATGTGTTGAGTTTATTAATGTGGGATTGTGATGCAGACGCATATACTACATCCCCATAATCAATGATTAGCATCAGCATTTGCTGTACAATCTTTTCCTTTACTGTAGGGCTTAGGCAGGATTTGTTTCTGTACAGGGCACCTAATTTTGGATAAAGTTTAGATGCAAGCTTTTCTATGTGCAGGCCAAAAGATAGATTGGGGTCTAATATCATACCCAAGTATTTAAAAGAGTGGACTGCGGTCAGTGTGCAATTTGAATTTGAACATGCATGGCGGTTAGCAGTACGATAGGGTCTAAGGAGGCTATAGAAGCCTTTGAAAATCTCAAACAGCGGTTTGCCTCTGCTGACATATAGATACATCCTGACACCAGTAAACCTTTCATTCTGGAAGTTGATGCATCAGAGACAGGGGTAGGGGCAGTTCTCTCCCAGAGAGAGAGCCAGGATACTCCATTGCAACCTTGTGGTTACGTCTCTAGAAAGTTTTCATTCTGGTGGGATTCCCTCAGAAGGGATGTTAAGGAGTATGTGCAGGCTTGTTCTGTTTGTGCGGTCTCCAAAGTACCTCATAAACTCCCTTGTGGCTTGTTACAACCTCTTCCCGTTACTGAGGTCCCATAGTCCCCCTTGTCTATGGATTAATTTGTAGAACTTCCTAGTTCAAATGGTTATACCACTATTCTCATGGTTGTTGACCATTTTCCTAAAATGGCTCACTTCATCCCTCTCAAGAAATTACCGTCATCTCAAGACCTGGTACTGATCTTTATACGTGAGATTGTCTGTCTGCATGGCATTCCTCACAATATTGTATCTGATAGAGGTTCTCAGTTTGTATCCGGGTTTTGGAGGGCTTTCAATAAGCAATTGGGGATTGAATTGTTTTTTTCATCCTCTTACCATCCCCAGACTAATGGTACAGCTGAGAGGGCTAACCAGTCTTTGGAGTTATACTTGGTTTGTTTCGTTAATAGCACTCAAGGCAATTGGTCCGAATTATTACCATGGGCCGAGTTTGCTAGGAACAATGCTGATCATGACTCCTCTGGGCATAGTCCATTTTTTGTTAATAACGGCAGGCATCCTACTGTCCTACTGGCTGTTTTTTCTGATACGGCTATTCCTGCTTTGGATGACCGTCTGGCTTCCATCCGTGATACCTGGGTTAAAGTTCAATCTGCTCTGGGTACTGCTGCTGACCCTTTCAAGCATTATGCTGATACACATTGAGGTGCCAACCCTGTTTAGAAAGTGGGTGAGAGGGTTTGGTTATCTTCCCATAACATCAGGCTCAAAGTCCCTAGCATGAAATTTGTTCATAGGTTCCTTGGACCTTTTCGTGTCCTTCGTAGGATCAATCCTGTTGCGTACTCTCTGGCCCTTCCGGCCTCCTTGAAAATTCCTAATACCTTTCATGTGTCCTTGCTCAAACCTCTTGTTTGCAATAAATATACTGTCTCAAGTGTCCCTCCTCCTCCCTTAGTTGTTTCTGGACAGGAAGAGTATGAGGTCTCCTCCATAATTGATTTTTTCTCGGGGGACTTTACAGTACTTGGTGGATTGGAAAGCTTATGGACCAGCCGATCGTTCGTGGGTTCCGGCATCTGATAAACCTGCTAGCCGCAAGATTCGCTATTTTCATGCCAAATTTCCTCTCAAGCCTAGTCCTGCCCGCCCGGTGGGCATTCTTCAGGTGGGGGGTAATGTCACGTATTCATCCGCTTATAAAAATGTGGTTAATGACATTTACTGTCCACACAGGAAAAGTTGTGCCGAGCAGCAACCAAATCCACAGAAGGGTTAATGCTGAGCAGCAATTATGCAAATGGGAACCTGGTAACTTCCTTTGGGGTCAAAGGCCAACTACAGCCTATCAGATCTAGAGGAGGGGTATTTAGGCCCAGTTCTCATCCTGCTCAGTGCCCTGTCGTGGTTTCCCTTGTGGTTGTCCGAGAGTGCGTTATTTGATTCTGGTAATTCTGGTTATTTGGCTTTGCCTTATCGTTGTATCTTTATGTTTCCCTTGACCTCGGCTATTCCTGACTATTCTTTGGTACGTTAGTCCAGCCATTCTAAAGTCCGGTAAATGTTTCCTATCAGTCCTCTGTGTTACACAATTCTATGTGCTGGATCATTCTGTAATCCTGGCACTTGTCAGCACTGAGCTTGTTAAAATTCTGTAGCTGGCTGATAAAACATTGTCCATAGAACTTTGTGTATACATCACCTGAGTGAATAACGAACTATGTCCAGCTAAGTCTAATGAATGGTGTGTAGGATAGGCAAACAATCAACACGTGATTGAAAATCTAACCAAGAGTAAAACTAAGATTGTATTCCTTAAGATTCTGAAAAATGTGTTATTAAATTATAATAATCCATATGCTCATAACTCATATGCTTCTTTATGATTTAACAAATAGTGATTGTCTCAATCAATTGTATATGAAGTAAAATATTCCATATGCTAACCCTGTTGATTGAAATTGTCATAGACTAACCCTCACTCAGACAAATCCCATCACTCAGAGTTTGAAATGGTCTTGTGATACTATACTATGCCATAATGTATTCACTGTTATTAAAAACGGATTACTAATTTTCATGTATGTTTACATCTATTGACAAAAATAAATATTATAATTTTGATAAAAGATTGTGATATTTATGTATGAAATATTAAATTCGAACAACATGCTCTAGGTCTAACAGGTAAAACAATGAATAACTCTGCTTTTAAATTAATAATTGGGAATAGCGCCAATAAAATATCAACCTCTGATATTTTAATAAAGATTATTCATTTCAATATTTTTATGAAAATATTTTAAATTAATATTAATTAATAATAATTAATCCTCATAAATATCCTCACAGAGTAAAGCAACTTGCAACATTATCTGCTGTGCAAGCTCTCTTAGAAAGCTATTTGAGGGCACTCACTAATTGCTTAGGAGAAGAAAAAATGTTTGACTGCTGCATGAGACCTCTTTTTGCTCTAGGGCAGGCTACCGTTTGTATTCCAGATGTTGTGGACTACATTGCCCATGATGCATTTCCAACATCATGGCTTGATGAACAGTATGGCAGATGTAGTTCACAACATTTGGAGTTCCAAATGTTGCCTACCCCAATCTAAGGGAAGTTAAGCTTTCCTTATGATACAGAGAAGCTAACTGATGCTGAGTTAACAACAGTGTGAGACAGAAACAGAGATATATGCAATGAGCATAAGTGGGTATCGTGCTAGAAGGCATTCTTAAAATATTGGCTAATGTTGTGGGAAACTTTATGAATCACTGGAAGAGCTGGTTGTAAGCAGATGAACATTGGGATCTTTATTTAAATTTTTTGGGGATGATACTGGTGATTGGGTAACTAATGCAAAGGGTTATATGTTGTTAGATGGATAGTGTAACTAAGAAAAGGTAGAGGGATAGGTTTATAAATTAAAGCCAAGAAGTAACTGATAATAATGAGGATGCCATCTGTGCAGAAATTCACACAGGAAACAAAATGATTTGATTTGTAAGAATATTCTTCAAAACCCAAGTTTTAGTATAAGTGAATGGTCTACTTTGTTTACATCATTAAAAAAAAGGCTGTACAATGGGACATGTTCTAACTATGAGGCTTTTAACTATCAAGATATTGACTTTGACATTGTGACATGCTGTCCAGCAATGAAAGCATTTGTGAAGCTTTAAATGATTGTTAACTGGGATAAGTAATTCAAGTAATTGAATAGAAATGTTCCCATACCCTTCAATATGGCATTTCCGATTTGGTAATAATGAAGAAATAATCAAAAAGAGTCTCATGGAATCAACATTCTATTACAGATCACAGGGTCATCAATTTTTAAAGCAGCATTTTCTCTTTGTACCTTGAATCCAATGTCAGTAGCTAGGTGTGTGGGTTATACAGGGGTAAGACAGTTAAGAGTTCCTAAGTAACAGGCTGTAATAATACATATACATGTCCTTGTCATTATTGTGTAATAGGCCTCTCCTTCTCCTCTCAGCCTCCTTTAGTGGGATCTACAGATTTCAGTTACAGGTTTCTCTCTCTCGCTCTCTCTCTATACATTTTCTTAAATACGTACATGTAGTGCATGTATAGTACTACCAACATATAAGAGACCACATGGGCAGATAATAACATATATGACTTTCTTTGAATGGCAAGTAATTTATTAATTTATTGTAAAGGTTTGCTCATAATTTTGTGGATGATTAAAATTTGCTATGTTTCGTTTTTACTTACTGAGCTTTTACAAGCTCCATATGAGCCACAAAAACCCCCCCAAACATTTAGAAAGTGTTTTGTGTAAGTACCATAATATGCAGAACCTACACAAGTTCTTATACAAATCAAGGTACGTTTTAGCCACGGTGGCTCCCCCGCAATATATACCTTTTAGTTAGTATGTTTTACTGGCTGATAGGGATCTAGATGGGCAAAAAAAAAAAATTAAGTTTCAGGCATCTCTGCCTTAGAGTTAGTGGTCCCGTGAGGCCAACACCCATCCTCCACGCACGAGGTACTACGCCCCTCGGGCCAACAGTTTGCCGCCTCATGGCCACAACATTCGGTGGCCATGAAACTCTCTCGTGCAACGCATAGATAGAACCTCTCATGCCGCTTGGCAACTAGCAGGGCCTCACATGTCACCAACTTAGTGAATTGCTTCGCCACTTAGCACTAGCTAGCCATCCAGTTAAATGGTTTGGATACAAACCAATTATTGCTACATTTCAGTATGTCTCAGATTCCCAAAAAAGGAGATGATATGTATAATCCCAGTACTGCAGCAGGTCCACTACATGAACACATAAAGGTGATGCTACTAGCCCTGCTTCAGTCAGGTCATGGACCATCCACCTTATAGCGGATGAACTATGCAGGCGCAACATTCCTTACCTGAGAACAGCTAGGAAGGCAGAGCTATTTAGGCTCTTGCAAATTTATACGGATAATACAGATGCTGGAGAGGGCATGAGTAGCTCAAACAACACTGATATCCAGGCTATGATATCCTCACTCGTGTCCTCTAGGGGACAGATGAATGGGAGTCTGGAAAGACTTGAAACATGTAGTCTTGCTATACCATCAACAGGGCCCCCCGCTACTGAACCACCAGGCCCTACTTAGACACAATCTGGTAACAGCTATCAGCAGGTGCGGGTTCACATGTTATTCAATCAGCTCACATGGTGCCAAAAAATAAAAAAGAATAAAAGATATCCTGGAGGGCAAAGATATTAATCTAATCTCTCTTTTGTTTGCCTCCCAGGATATTGTTGAGAATCGCACTTATGCATACGGGGATATATCTGTCGTTCTAAATGCCAGGGATACTAGACTGAGCAAAAGACGCTCTATCTTGAATTTTAGTGTTAGCATTCAGGATATACAGAGACGTCATATGTTCAGTTTACCCACACAGGAGAGAGGAACTAGATCTCTACAGGCACAAGCTGGTGGACTTAAGTAATAAATACGGTGGTACGGCATTTACGACTACCACCGGTCCTTCTCAACGAAGGTGTCTGCAGCTCTTGCCCAGCTTAACGTTAGAACAGATTGGTGTCAACTGGACACAGCTTTTCTGCAGATACTTCGCTGGACTGAGGACACTAGCTCCTGCAATCTGTGCATCATCCACTTCACACTCAGCTAATCTAGGTCCAATCTCACCTGACATCTCTCCTAACCTGGCCACCCCAAGCACCAAAGCAAAGAGTGACAAACCAGTCAATGATAAATTAGGATGTCCAATTGTGTATTTGGGAAATCACAAACATGTAACAACTTCAACAAAGGTACTTGTAGGTTCCCATCCAGGCATTATTCACAGGCCAGCAAGAACCATAGAATACAACAACCTACAATCGGCTATGGCAAATACCGTGACAGTAGATTGGCTGTTACAGCACGAAGTGGATTAAGGATTTCTATTAGAGCCTTTTAGGGATCTCCATTTTCTAGTTGGAGGACAAACCCAATTGGCATAGTTACCAGGAAAACTCTTTAAAATAAAGACTAATTTTATAACATGACAGGAGGCTTCCTATTTTGCATTAACTCTCTTTACTAAACTCCACAGCAGTAAAGAAAAACGTAAAGAGTAACAAATAAATCACTGAGCAGCATAGTATATAAGGGTCATGCTGCCTGTACACTTCCTCTTTCTTTACTGCTCCATCGCAGACAGGTCAGAATATTTGCTCCCCTGGAGCTTTATACATTTATTGTCATTACTTGTTATTCATTTATTGTCATTACTTGTTTATTCCTTGCTATTTCAACATACTTTATCATCATTGTTTTAGCCTTTCCTTCTATTTCTTTGTTCTATACCAGGGCTGGGGGACTAGGGGCTTTCTGTGGGTTTTTCCTGCCTCCTTCTGCCCCTCTGTGCCTCCTGGGACCCTCCCTGGGCTTCCCCTTGGTCTCCCCAGGTCCCCCCTCTGCCCCCCTACCCTGGAGTGCCCTCCTGGGCTTCCTCCTTGCGGCCGGTTTTGTTCGCGGCCGTTTTCGCGCCGGCCCGCTTCCGCCCGCGGCCGGCCTAAAAAATTTAGTCCCCGGCTTGCGGCCTACCTCGTGGCCGCCATTTTTGATCGCGGACATCGCGAGATTCTTGCGGCCATCTTAGTTTTGCCTCATGCATCTCATTAGGGGCTGTGTTAACTTGCTGTTACCTCCTAAGCTGCTGTTTTCACACCTTTTGTGTCTGACACCCCTGTGACTGAAGGATTACCTGCTCCTGCACTCCATCTGCTGCTTTCAACCTGCTACTCAGTCTCTGTGCCTCATCTGCTTCTATCAAGCTATACTGTGGCTGGGTCAGTCAGGTCAGTGCTGCTGCCTGTTTATTATTATTGTGGCCTGCACTTAAGGGTACCAACCCTGTGCAACCGGGGTGAGCCCCCACTATAAAGACGCTGCTTACTGGGAGACTAGCTGTTGCAGTTCTCTCTAACTGGGTGAGCCCCAGTTTATAAGGTCACTACTATACCCTGCTGGGGTTATTCTGGGCTTGTTCCCACCATACTTCCAAATCTGACCCTACGCCTACTATCAAGACCTGGGTGCCCGTTCATTGCTGTGCCTCTCAGTGACCTATAAGCCTACCCTAACATGGAAGATTCCCAGAACGTCCCTGTGGACTTTCAGGCCATGATTAACGCAGCTGTCGCTGCCTCTGTGGAGAAGGCACTCTCCAAGACCCGAGCTTCGGCTCCTGACGTACCTAAACGCAGACGTCCACGCCACGAATCGGATTCTGAGTTGTCCGACCATCAGGCACGGGAGGATTCCCGCCCTAAAAAACGCCATGACAAAGGCGAAGACTACACACCCAAACCGCCTAAGGGTAAGGCACCTGCCAAGCGCAAGTCTGCCAAATTACACACCCCGGCCCTGCGTCAGGAGTACTCTTCAGACGAAGAGCAGGACGCACAGTCCATGTCAGTGCTGGATGAATGGCAAGCTGACGCCTCTGACTCGGACTACGACGCATGGGGCTCGGACGAGAAATCGGTCTCCGCTTTCATGCGAGAGACCCTACTGGGTGCGGCCCAGAGAGGAGATGCAGAGGACACTGCGGACGCAGAGCCTCCTCTTGATTCAGACGCCATCTTGGACCCCTCAGGCCAGGTGATGTTCGACCCCCGCAACATTCGGCACCCCAGATCAGGTGACTGGTCGCCTCCAGAACACCTTTCAAGGTTTATGCACCTGTGGCTCCGCAAACCTCTGGAAAAAGAGGTCCGCAGCCGTCTCAGGTCTGAATGCCCACGCCCTTCCATGCTGGATAAGGTCGCTCAGACCCCGGAATTCGACAAGGTTATGTCAACCTTCATGACGCGCAGTGGTAGAGACCCTCGCCGAGGGGTGGAGAAAGGCCTATGGGGCACCCAAGATAACCTGCTGGATTCTGTAGGCCCCCTGGCTCGCATTATGTATCTGGCTGATGATGCCTACACCTAAGCCGATTCCTTCTCCGCTGAGGACATCAGGGAATGGGCACATGATGTTCGTGAATGGGCACAACGGTGTTTTTGTTTAATCGGAAACACTAATGTTACGCTCTCTTCGGAGAGAAGAAAAGCAGCGTTGTACCGTATTAACGGCAAATTGGCAGACCTTGGCACAAAGGAGATTGGGCCCCAGGCACAAGGGAAACTATTTGGCGAACCGTTCCTCAAGGAACTCAACAAACACGTGAACGTGTTCACCTCCCTTAATAAGGCGCAGTCCTCAATGCGCAGAGTTTTCAGAAGCAACCCTACCAGAGGGGTTTTTGGAAGGGCTGGCCGGCAACGGGGCCGTGCCGCCAGCCGATTTTGGCCTTCAGGCCCCCGCACCCAACCAACACCATTTTACCCGACAAGAGACTACCGGCAGCAACCCTTTTCCAGAGGCTCGGATAGAGGTCGTGGACCCCGCGGACGCGGACGTTCCCGCTTTACCGCAGGTAAGGACCCATATTCCTCCACTGTTACCATGTACCCGCACTGCGGGCCGTATTTCCCTTTCTTTCCAGAATTGGGCCGCCCTATGCTCAGACACATGGATCCTACAAACTGTACAGGGATATATCATAGACCTAGTGGGGACCCCCTTTCAGGTTCAGCCCCCTCGCCCCATCCACATGTCATCCTCCGACCACAACCTCGTCAACACGGAGCTACGCGAGCTCCGAGACAAAGGGGCTATCCAGCCGGCCCGCGACGGGGGTGGCTACTTCAGCAACATCTTCCTGGTTCGGAAAAAATCGGGAGAATACCGCCCCGTCATCAATCTACGCGCCCTCAACGCATATGTGGTCTATCGCCACTTCAAAATGGAAGGCATCCACCTACTGCGAGACCTTCTTCGAAGCAACGACTGGTTCACCAGGCTCGATCTAAAGGACGCGTATCTGTCAGTCCCGGTGCACCCGGACTGTCGAGCACTCCCACGTTTCCTCTGGCACGGAGGCCCTTGGCAATTCACTTGCCTCCCTTTCGGGCTCAGCTCAGCCCCATGGTGTTTCACCAAACTCCTAAAACCAGTGGTGGCCCACCTAAGATCAAGGGGCATTCGATGCATCATCTACTTAGACGATCTCCTCATCTTCTGCGCCGACGAACACAGACTACGCCAACACACTCACCTGGCAGTATCCCTACTGGAGTCCTTGGGTTTTATCGTAAACCAACAGAAATCGGAGCTGACCCCTACCCAGACGATACAATTCCTCGGCTTCGAGATCGACTCGACGACATGCACTCTGAGGCTACCAGCCTCAAAGATCACAGCCATTCGCAAGGAGATTCGCAGGGTTCTCCGTCTCGATTCCATTCCACTACGCAATCTGGCCAGGATTGTAGGACTCCTCTCGGCTTCCATTCAGGCCATATTTCCGGGTCCCCTCCACTACAGGGCCATGCAACGTCTCAAGGCGAAATACCTACGCCGCAGGCCCACTTACGACCAACCCGTCCCGGTGACGATGGAGGTTCGCGAGGAACTATCATGGTGGCTGGACAGCATGCAAGCCTGGAACGGCAGGGCCATATTCAGAGACGCTCCAGACTTCGTACTGGAATCAGACGCCAGCCTGTGGGGATGGGGTGCCACCAACGGAACCATCTCCACGGGGGGAACATGGACGGCGCAGGAGCTCTCCATGCACATCAATTGCCTCGAACTCCTGGCAGGATCCTTCGCGATTCGCAGCTTGGCCCGGGAAAGATCCAACTGCTGCATCCTCCTGCGCATGGACAATGTATCCGCAGTCCAGTACATCAACCGCCTGGGAGGCGCTCGCTCTCGCCTGCTGTCGGATATCACGAAAGGCATTTTCGACTATTGCCTCCCTCGCAACATCACGCTACAGGCAGAATACTTGCCAGGAGAAATCAATCTCACAGCCGACTGGTTCTCTCGCCACTGGAGAGACGTCAGCGACTGGAAGCTAAACACGAGAATCTTCAGGGCCCTTGCAGCCCGGAGGGGTCCCTTTCACCTGGATCTGTTTGCCTCTCGCAACAATCACCAGACCCCGGAGTTCTTCAGCTGGCTCAAGGCGACAGACGCATTTCTCCAACAATGGCCGTCGACAGGAGCCTACGCCTTTCCCCCATTCTCCATGATTGCGAGAACACTACACCAGATACGGACGCAACAGATCAAACTGGTTGTCATAGCGCCCTTGTGGCAGAGCCAACCATGGTTCCCGGACCTCCTGGCCTCCTCCTACAGGGACCCTCTTCTCCTACCATCCTTCCCGGACCTGCTCACGGATCCCAAAGGGCATCTCCACCCACTACTCCTGGAAGACCGGCTACCCCTGGTGGCTTGGTCTCTTTCCGGGGTTCCTGGCGAGTCAGCGGACTATCGCAGGCTGCTAGGGACCTCTTATGGGACTCATGGGCCCCGTGAACTAGACGCTGTTACCTTTCAGTTTGAGCCTCCTGGTCTACTTGGTGCATGGAACGGGACTCCGATCCCTTTACAGCACCTATTCCCATGATTCTTAATTTTCTCTCCTCCTTGTTTTCATCTGGCCGCTCTTACCGTTCGGTCAATGTCGTGCGCTCCGCGATTTCGGCGGCTCACACCCCCGTCGGGGATCTCCCGGTCGGCAAAGACCCTCTGGTCTGCCGTCTACTCCACGGTATGCGGCTCCGCCGTCCCCCGGCCCCCAGATACCCTCACCTATGGGATGTGGGACTGGTTCTCCGCTTCTTCAGGGATTGGCTTTCCGAATGACCGCCTCTCCCTACGCCAACTATCCGCTAAGTGCGCTTTCCTCCTCTGTCTCGTATCTTTCCGACGGGTTTCAGACGTTCGGGCCTTCGACGTGGACGCTTTCGAAGTGGCCCCTGAAGGGGTCACGTTTCACATTTCCCGTCGCACTAAGTCGGGTTCGACCTCGGTCTTTTACCCATTTTTTCCCGACGACCCGCAGCTTTGCGTCGTGTCCACCCTCCGCAGGTATGTTTCGGTTACCTCCTCGCTCCGGTCCTCTACGTCGGGCCAACTCTTAGTCTCCTACGTGCGCCCTCACGCCCCAGTCTCGGTCACCACCTTGGCCCGATGGATCCGCTGGATCCTTTCCCTCGCAGGTATAGACCCCGCTTTCGGCGCCCACTCCGTTCGCGGTGCGGCGACTTCATCAGCCTTCCTGGCAAGGGCGTCCCTCTCGGATATTCTCAGAACGGCGACTGGTCTAGGGAATCCACTTTCCGTACATTTTATTTTCGCACTCCCCCTTCTGCTGGGATGTCACTTCTTCAGCGTTAAAATTGCAAAATAGGAAGCCTCCTGTCATGTTATAAAATTGAAGATTATGCTAGCTTTAGTGTACTAATAATTTTAATAAGGACAGGAGGCGAGTATTTTCCCTCCCTTTTGTTCCCTACCCTGACTCCTCGGGGGAGTGGATCTTAAGGTGATGGATTTTGGGATTCATATTAGTGGTTCCACTATCTTCTGGACATATTCGGTATCCCTTCCATCTCTATTCCCAGTGTTTCCACCTAGACGGACAGTTTAGTTGTACAACATGCTTACACCTACACATATTTAGCCTATGGCCAGCTTACAATCTGTCTGTACTGTTTAATTTACACCATTCTGTTAAAGCCCACAGGCGTGAACAGTTACGGTTCAGTACCTAACCGATTTTATACTCTCCTTTCAGTGTAACCCTCTTCAGGACCTCCACTGGTCGCTGGTTCGTTAACCTCACGACTCCGTAAGATGGGATGACGGCTTCGTTTGGTCTCTCCTCCTATCTCGTTACCAGGAGCCTCCTCAAGTTCCGCTCGCCAGAGACCTCAGTTACCGTTTCGTTGAGTTTCTGGATGTTCGAGCTCTATCTGGACTTGGATGTCGCTTTAAGAAAGAGGAAGTGTACAGGCAGCATGACCCTTATATACTATGCTGCTCAGTGATTTATTTGTTACTCTTTACGTTTTTCTTTACTGCTGTGGAGTTTAGTAAAGAGAGTTAATGCAAAATACTCGCCTCCTGTCCTTATTAAAATTAAGATTATTAGTACACTAAAGCTAGCATAATCTTCAATTATAGACCGCACCGTGCCACTCTCCTCAGCAGTCCCTAGTCTTAACTCCATGATTCCCTCAGAGGAATTTCCACAAGAATACACCATACGAGATAATGCCATAGATGCAATCATTTCAGCAGGGATAGGGGCATGGCTCAGTAAAACTGACATAGTTCATACCTTTAAATTACTACCCATTCACCCATCTCTGTTCTCTAGGCACACGTTTGCATCTTGATATGCCACACCTGTGAGGTGGATGGATTATCTCGGCAAAGGAGAAGTGCTCACTAACACAGATTTAGACAGATTTGTGAACAATATTTGAGAGAAATAGGCCTCTTGTGTACACAGAAAAAGTCTTAGATCTTTGAGTTCAACTTGTGAAAAATAGGAGCAAAAACAAAAGTGTTGCGTTTATAATTTTGTTCAATCTATATATGTATATGTATATATATATATATATATACACATACACACACACACACATACTTTTTACAATTCTGCATTTTTGCTATGCATAGTAGTAGTACAAACAGACTTGCATTGCCACAACACCTATTGCAAACATTTTTAAGACATAGTAACTGCACATTTGTATATAATTATTGCAAAATGCTAGGCACACATATTAGAGAAGATCATCTGGACATGGAGAGTTGTGTCTATAGAATAATGTATGAGAGTAAACATGCAAGGCACTCTGAATGGTAGAAGCTAAAAGCTGTAAGTAAACTAGGATACAACCAAACGTAAATCTGTTAAAATAAAACAAATTGGTATCTACAACAATCCCTGGTTGCACAACTCAGAATAGCACATTAGCAAAAGAGGTATCATCCAACGCCCACAGTTGGTGGACTCAGGATTTGATCATGGTGGTTATCATAGGGGGTCAGCATAACGGTGCCAGGAGAGGGATACGATTGTCTTCCACCCCCAGGCTTGTACAAGGACCGATTGCACAGTGCCACAGTCTCTGGGCCTCTTAGAGTCCAAGTCCCTCCTTATTGGCATAGAGCGGAATGGTGGAATAGTTGACTGCTGCGGTCGGTGGACTGTCTTCCTCATGCATGGATGTTTTCATAAGGCCTTGCTTCGAATTACCTTCATACCAGGTAAGCCAGGGATTTGTGAGCCTGTTCAGCCCCAGAGGTGACTGGCTTTCTGAGAGGGGAGGCATTTAGTCGGCTCATGGAGGACTGAGGAAGGCAGGTGGGCCACCAGCTCATGGAGAGCTGAGGGAGGCGGGCGGCTAAATTAGTGCAGCGGCGGCAGCAAGAGAACCATAATCGCCCTGCTCTGTGCACCTTCGAGTGATGCTGGGAGCCGGGTTATGTCAGGCCAGCTCAGCATCACTAAACAGCACTCTAGGAAACTTAGGGAGATGACAGCATCCCCACTGGACCCAGGGGAAACTGATACACTCCAGCTCTCCCAAAGGTAGGGAGGCTGGGTAGATTAATTAAAATAAAAAAGTAATTTGTGAGGGAGTGTTGCTATATCAGTGTGTGTCTCAAGTCCGTGTGTGTGTGTATGTCAAATTAGGGAGTTAGTGTGTGTGTGTGTGTCTGTCAGTGAGTGAGTCTGTGTGTCTGTGTGTGTTTGTCAGTGAGTGTGTGTATCAAATCAGTGTGTGTCAGTGAGTGTGTATGTTTAGGTGACCTGCCCCCCTTCAATCACATGAGAGATGTTTTTACTCATCTTTTTTCCCACTCCATGCTGGCCCAACCTCCATGGCTGAGATCATCAATATTGATGATCTCAGCTAATCTAATGCTTCCACATAGGAAATCATCGGGAGACTATTGCGCATTTGCTGCAAAATGCCCTACTGCGATAATCAACTTCTCCTCATAGGGATGCAGTGAATCAATGCATCTCTATGAAAATCAGTCTGAGTGACTGTCACTAGAGGTGTCAGCGGGCAGCAATGTAAACACTTGACTGCTGACCGATAATCCATGTCCCCACCATTGCCCCCCAATAACACACCAGATACCTTCTTAGTGGATAAGGGCAACGGCCACAGATTTATTACATTTATAACTTTTAACACTATCCAAATCTGTCAGCTGTTGAGCGGTTGCCCAACAGAAAGTTCCCCCAACCTTTTTTCCATGAGCCTAAACAGCCGGCACTCCGCCATCAGCTCCCGCGCGGGTAGTCATCTTCCCAAAGCCACTCTTCATTTTAACCTTTAATTTGCGCTGTCCATGATACTGCCACCGTGATGCCCTCCTCGCGAACCTTACTCTGCGCCGGCATTGCGCCCTCCCGCCGACAGCGCAATTTCAATTCCTGACTGGAGTCCCACATTGAATATGTCCAAGCCTACCCGTGACAAATGTACACCATCCCCCTGCATGACATTAGCATTATCTCCTTCCAGCTGAAAGTGGCGTACTACAACTCCCCCCATGAGCCGAATAAATCTAGAGACCGTCATGTTGACCTTCCTCCTACACTTCTCTAAGCCTCTGCCATGTGCGCTCACCCGCCATACTGGGCGAGAGATGATTTCTGACCAAACTACAATCAAGTCCTTAAAAAAAGAGCAAAGCAGCGCGCCACATCTTGCTTCATGGCCTGGATGAGATCGACCGACCGCCGCTGTCCAATGTCATTCCCGCCCGCGTGCAATACCAGGATGACTGGACCGGAGACGCTGCGGCTCAATTGAAGACATTCAGAGTACATTTGGTCCCAGCGTAATCCCCTTAACCCCTCCAATGTACCCTAAATGACTCATAGGGAAAACTCAAGTTACGGCCATACACTCTGTCTTACGCGCACTGGGCTGCCCAGTACACATAGTAGTGCCCTATTATCCATACGAAGCGCGGACCCCTGCCTAGAATGAAAGAAAAGACATAACAACCCTACATCCAGGAATCACATAATTAACAAATTGAGAAGGAAGAGGGGGAGAGAGAAGGGGAAATTGCTAAACCATAACAACATTTGGATGAGTACATATAGCTGATACCGGCCTGACTTCCATCATCCTAGACGTTTTAACGCCTCCACCGGAAGACCCATCTGAATCGCCTGCGTCGCCGCACCTACACGGAAGGAATGTGACGTGTACTGGGTAGGGTCTGCATACCTACAGAATCCGAGAGAACTGAAACCGACTCAGCGATGTACCATTCTGGTGAACCAAAAGGGACCCCTCCCGTTGACCCCAAAACTGGAGGAACTACCTCACTAGCCGAACTGGGCAATATACACCCCCTGTAACTCCGAAACGAACCTTGGCCCCTTTGCCTGCCTGATCCGTTTTTGACCTTCGTATATGGTCAGCGCGATGCTCACAGCTCCAAATCTCTGAGCCACAACCGCGAGTGCATCGAGGCCCTGGGTGCTACCAATTCCCCAATCCGCAGCGCTATGAAAAAGCACAGTAAAAAGGCCACTCGAAAGAGCCGAACAAGTGAGCACACCTGAGGAAGGAAGGACAACAGCGTCACCAGTACCTCAAATGAGATCGGCCTACGAGAGTCCGGTCATCAACATCGCATCCATCCTTTCACCATCACCACAAAAAGGAGAGAGCAGACAAATGCCTACTCGCAACCGCTACTGACTTACCAGCCGCGCTTAGCGACTCCAAGAGTTCCAGCGTCACACGCAGCCTACCCGCCGCTGTCGACAAGCCCCTTTCCAATCCGATGACAAACTAACACCTCCCGAAACCGGTCCCACTGAAACCGAGAAAGGCGATGACATTCAGCACGCCTGGCACATGACACGCTACAATCCACACATTATGACGCACTATCCGCCTAAGCAGCGCTAGCACCGGAGGCGACGCAGAGCTAGACCGATTAATTACATGGACAACACCCATGTTGTCCGTGCGCACCATCACCTTCCTATTCGAGAGCCCTTCGCCCCACAGCTCCACTGCTACCACGATGGGGAAGAGCTCCAGAAACTCAAGGTTGCCCTTTAGCTCACTCTCCTTCCACGAAAGCAGCCATGTGTCTGTACACCAGCGACCGTGGAAGTACGCGCCAAACCCCACAGACCCTGAGGCGTCCGTGAACAGCTCGAGATCCGTATTTGACGTAGCAGGACGCAACCAACATGACTGACCATATGTACCGAGGAAGGAACTCCACATCTGCAGATAATCCCGCAGCTGACTGGTAACTTGAATAAAGCGAAAGGGTTGACGCCTACAGAATGCCCGTCCCGTAGAGAGCACACAACAAGCAAAATTGAGGTGACCCAAAAGCACCTGGATTTGCCTCAGCTGCACTTTTTTTGCACCCTTCACCATATCTACCAGGAGTAATTACTCCAGCTTCCCTTCCGGCAGACGAAAGACCATGAGTGAGATATGAATCTCTATGCCCCGATAGGAGAGGACCTCCACTGACCCCACTGTCTTGTTTTCTGCCAGTGGAACCCCAAAGTCCACCGAGACCTCCCTAAACGACTCCAATAGACAGACGCATGTGTCCGACGCCCGAACTCCCATGAACAAAAATAGTCCAAATAGTGCGTAATGGACGAACAGCCAGTGACCTGCGCTACCACCCATTCGAGAAATGAGGCGAACATCTCAAAGTACGAACATGAAAAAGTAAAAAAAAGAACGAACCATTAAACTGACAACCTAGTAAATGAAAACATTTCAGATGCACTGGAAGGAGCCGGAAAGCGGATTCAATATCAGACTTCGCCAGCAAGGCCCCGGCTCCGGCCTCCCTAAGCAATTCAAGAGCCCTGTCAAAAGATGCGTACCTAACGCGGGACACCTCTTTATCAATATCATCATTCACCGAACCACCCGATGGGTTTGACAGGTGGTGAATGAGCCAAAAAGCTCCGGAATCCTTTTGGTCACCAAGCCCAATGGAGAGACCCGTAAATTGTAAAAGGGCGGAACTGCCAATGGGCCAGCCATGCGCCTCCTTCACACTTCCTTGTCCAACTTCTCCGCTAAAATCTCTTCTTTTCCCAGCACGGACTTCAAATTACTAGAGAGGGAAGGGGAATCTGAATGTACAAACGGAATCCCGAAAACCCACGGAAAACCCATCCAACAAAATCTCAGCTGCCCGCCAGGTAGGATACCAGTCGATCGCATCCTTACCACGCTCACCGGCACCCTCTGGATGAGCTGGATGAGCCACTCCGCCCCTCAAACACTCATGTTTAAACCTGCAAGCTCCGTACCACTTGCAGTGGCTCTCATTAAAAAAGCCAGCACACGCCCTTGCACGTCCCTGCCGGAGCACTGGTAAAGGGGGCTGGCCTCGAGGGGGTCATCAACAGCATCCACAAGCTGCCGTCCTGCACCCCAAAGCCCATACCCAGACTAAACGCCATTTTTTTTGTTGACGAAATTGCTGGTCGTAGCGAAACCAGCATTGGCCCCCATAAACTTTGTACGCCCCCCAAATAAGATTCACATATCCGAACAGTGCCGGGGCCTTCTCTATATACCATGAACCCTTGGAGCCAGTTTCCAAAGGTGCATGGAATCTTACCTGTCTCTCCCTCCGCCGACTTCCTGCGGCGCGGTTTGTCCACAGATTCCCGGTCGGGGGAACCAGGGTTAATACATCTATAAACTCACCCCTGATTATTTTATCCCTGACCTCCAGGGGCATATGCATCCCTTGTGGTGCCATCTTGCAACCTGGCATAGGGGGACGACCAGACACCAACGCCTGCATAGGGACACTAACCTGCGCCTTGGCCTGAGCAGCACCCTCTGGCAGCCTGGCTAGTACAGCCCTAAGCAATGAGAGAACACTATCCCCTTGAAGACCCTGCTCACTGGATCCCTTACTAGTTCCCAGCGCTTCCCATGCGCTAGCGCAATACTCACCGGTACCCGTCGCAGGAATCAGCACTGGAACAGTGGTTCTCTCCTCCTCCGATCCAGACTGGGCACTGCCCTCTTCAGAAGGTGCTGTTGGGGACCCATGGCCGCCTGTACAGCCGGGCCGCTGTCTGTACCTGCTGCTCCTGTCATGTAGATGGTGCTGCGCCAAGGCCTGGGACTGGCGCTCTCCCCCCTGCGCAGCAGTCCCGTACTCGCCCTGCATTCCTGCGCCGACTTCCTGTGCACGCACGCCACATTGCGTGCGTGATATCGTCACTTCCGCTCTGGCCGGAAAAGACGCATGCGAACTGCGCGATCTTCTGGCGGGCTCGCTGCCATTGCTGGGGCCGCCATCTTGGGCCTCACCTGCTCCTCCTCGTGTGGACCGTCTCCTGCGCCCGCGGCTACCGCTGGCGATGTCCTCTCACCGCTGCCAGCAATCCCCTGGGTCTCATGTTGCCCCCGTCATCTCTCCTCACTGGACTGGGGGATAAACGCTACGGAGGCCTGGACCATCTGGCCCTCCATCCGCCAGCCACCGCAACGACATCCGTTGTCCCTGCGGTCCCCGATGCTGCTCCCACACCTGATACCAGGGCCTCCAGCGCCTTCTGGCCCGTGGGATGCCTGGTAGGCCTGCAGGAGCCTCTACAAGTCAGATTCAGCCATCATTGTTGCTGTAGTCATCCTGGAAGGGGTATCACACAGGGTCTCACAGACCTCTGGTCAGCCTAACAACTTATTTTTCTTCTTTTTGCTTGCAGAAATCTTCAGGACAAAACTGGACAAATTTAAAAGTCAGTATTCTTCTTTCCCTTGAAAATTCAGTATTCACCTGTCCCTTGTCTCTGCTGACTAGTCTCCTCCCTCGGCCTCCTACCAAACGGACCACTTTGCAACATTGTATAATTTTATAATCCAGCCCCTTATTCATGTGCAGCAGTCATGCCCCCACTTCCCAAGTTGTCCAGGGGGAAACTGTCTTTTGTCTGAAAAGTCAGCATTTACTTCAGAACAAGGGTATTAAGCTGTAGTGGTTATGGTGACTATAGTGTCCCTTTAATAATTGTATTTTTGACATTGATAAATCTGGCTCCTAACTTTATTAGATGGCTCCTAGATTCTAAGTGTGGCTGTCACACGGTCCTCAAGCGTAGCCTATAATCATGCGAAAATCGTGTCGAGCCGCATCAGGGAACTCACAGTGAGGTCTTGCGGAGACCTTGCGTCCGCCATCTTGTGAGGTACTGTTGCATCCAGAGATCAGCCAGGAATGGTTGTTAATAACCACTGAAAAACCCTGAAGCTACTGGAAACAGTTCAGTGGGGACCAGCATACTCTTCCCCCTACCCCCTCCCTGCCCCACTGATCCGGGAGTTGAATGGTGTTTGTTTTGAGTAAGAGAGAGGAGAGCGGTCGCCTCTCCCCAGCTGCATCACTTGTAGGCCACAGCGGTTCACTGCAGGTTCCTGGAGGCTTAAAGTCCTGGTTGAGGTCTAGCCAAAAAAATGCAGGGTACCCCCAACATAAAGAGTGTTGCCTCAATAAATGGGTAATTTCCCCCGACAATTGGCAGAATAAATGGGAGCTCATGCAATACATGTCCATCCCGCTTGAAGGCTCAGTTCCACCACACCCACAATTTTTTTTTATTTTGATGTCATTTTTTTTTTAGTTATAAGATTTAGGCAAAACAAATACTTGTAGGTTTATTAAACTAACTAGGAATTATAGAGAATTGAAGGTAATTGCAAATTTTAGATCAGACTAAAAGAATTAGAAAATGTCTCCAGCTGCCCTAATTGGCTTAAAACTTGAAATTCATTTAACAATTCTCCACTATGCTCAAATATGTCAGTGAACCTTGAATAAGTTTTAAATCCACATTATTTTATTACTAATCAGAATTTGTATTTTTAAAGTGCAAAAGTTTTTTGTTTTTGTTTTTCGAATGACCAAATTATAGTGAACATGCTATGTGGAAAGTTCTGCCAGTCATAGACCTTACAGTGTAGAAGTTCTGGAAGAATTATGACAAAGTTATTACCTTCATTGGTCCGTACACCTCTGAGCGATCAAACATCTGTGTAAAGAAACTCAGACTGTTCAGGGCTGCCTGCCATGGCATGTATTCAGTGTCATTTGCAAGGAACCTGGTTGTGTTTAGAGCTCTTGTTGTAGGCACATACTTTGCTCTGGAACACAACAGAACATTATCATTATTAAGTCAACTATTTCTCTTATTTAGTATAAACACAAACATTTTGCGCAAGGGGTAAAACAAAACAAAAACAAAAAAAAGTTTCTATATCAAATGCAAAGAGTTCCAGCCAATGTTAATACTTTAAGTTAAAGCAATAAGCAGGCCAACCACCTTTCTGACTGCCATTTATCATAACACCAAAGACCACTTTTTAAAGATTTCCTTCAGCCTTTGCTGAGGTTATTTGGGACTTGAGTCAGTGGTGTATCCTGGTTTTGTGCTGCCCTAGGCAGGACAAAACTCAGGCGCCCCCCTCCCCCCGCGCCACCCCCACCCAACCCTTCCTCCCGCCCCACCTTCTAAATACACACACAGTCAGACACAAACATACACACACAGTCAGACACATACACAGACACAAACACACACACACACTCACAAACACACACACAGTCAGACACACACACACACTCACAAACACACAAACACAGTCAGACACAAACACACACAGTCAGACACACACACAGTCAGACGCAAACACACACACACAAACACACAGACAAACACACACACAGTCAGACACATACACAGACACAAACACACACACACAGTCAGTCACACACAAACACACACACACACATACACACACACACAGTCAGACACAAATACACACACACGGTCAGACACAAACACACACAGTCAGACACAAACACACACACAGTCAGACACACACACACACACACACACAGTCAGACACAAACACACACACACAGTCAGTCAGACACAAACACACACACACACACACATACACAAACACAGTCAGACACAAACACACACACAGAGTCAGGCACACACATACACACACTCACAAACAAACACAGTCAGACACAAACACACACAGTCAGACACACACACAGACACAAACACACACACAAACACACAGACAAACACACACACAGAGTCAGGCACAAACACACACACACAGTCAGACACAAACACAGTCAGACACAAACACACACACAGAGTCAGACACAAACACACACAGTCAGACACACACACAGACACAAACACACAAACACACACACAGAGTCAGGCACAAACACACACACACAGTCAGACACACACACACACACATTAACTTTTTTTTTTTATTTAAATTCCCCCCCCAACCTCCTTACCTTTGGGAGTGCTGGGGGGGGGGGTCTCTCTCCCTGGTGGTCAGGTGGTCCATTGGCTGCCGGTCGGGCGGGCGGCGCTGGCAGGCGGAGCCTTGGCCCCGGCGCTCTTCCCCTGAGCTGACTGCTCAGCCACCATGGCACGCCCGGCCGCTGAAGTGAGGCTGGGAGCAGGAAGATGGCGTCATCTTCATCCCAGCCTGCTCTGCAGCACCGGCAGCAGCGAAAGGCTTAACAGTCAGCTCCAGGAAAAAACTCCTAACCGACACCGCTCCACTCCCGAAGGATATCAGTTAGCCGCAAGGCTAACTAAACTGCCATAGGCATTTGAGGCGGCGTTTTTGCCGCCCCTGAAAAATAAGCCAAGGCAAATGCAGCCTTGTTGCCTCGCGGCTAATCGCCCCTGACTTGAGTAGGAGCTGAAAGTTTAGTTTGAACTGAACACTAGTTTAAAATACTTTTTAAACTGTCCATCCCATTGCCTGCCCTTCCATTCTTCTCTACTGTGGTATATAACTTTCTTTGCAGTTTTAGGAGTTATGTTTTATTTTATGCTGTTTTTGTCCTAAAGATGTGCATGTACGAACAATGTGTTTAGTTTCATTTCAATACATTTATTTTTACGAATTTCGGTTCATCTGAAAATAAATTATTGGCTTGGAGCAAAACTAAACAAGCTAAATTTGGTGCGCCATTATTCCAAAGGATATTAAATTAAGGCATGTATACAGAATGCCTGTGGTACATGAATATAGAATGCACGTTGTTGTACTATACACTGGATACCAAAACAGGGGGCAAAATTAAGAAAAGCTCTTTCTTAAATTTGTGCTTTTATTTGCCTAAATGATACACTGATCAGCCACAACATTAAAACCACTTGCCTAATAGTGTGGTCCCCCTTATGCTGCAAAATTTGCTCAGATGCATCAAGGCATGGACTCCACAAGACTTCTGAATGTGCCCTGTGGTAACTGGCACCAAGAACGTAGGAGCAGATCCTTTAAGTTTTACGTCGTGCAAGTTGCAAAGTGGGGCCTCCATGGATCAGACATATTGTGCTAGCGCAATCCACAATTGCTCAATCGGATTGAGATCTGAGGAATATGGAGGCCAAGTCAATACCTTAAACTCTTTGTCATGCTCAAATTACATGGTGCATTACCATGCTGCAAGAGGACACTGCCATCAATGAAAACCATTGCCATGAAGGGGCTACGTGGTCTGCAGCAATCTCTAGGTAGGTGGTACCCACAAAGCCACAGCAGAACATTGCCCAGAGCATAACACTGCCTCAACGGTCCTGCCTTCTTCCCATAGTGCATCCTACTGCCATTTCTTCCACAGAAATGCATCAGGCCATCCACCTGTTCTAAAATAAAACATTATTCATCAGATCTGGCAACCTTATTTAATTGCTCCATGGTCCAGTTCTGGTGTTCACATCCCCATTTAAGGCAATTTCGGTGGTGGACAGGGGTCATCATGGGCACTCTGACAATTCTGCGGCTAAGCAGTTCCATATGCAGCAAACTGCAATGCATTGTGTATACGGACACCTTTCTATCTGGCCAGAATAGTTATTCAGCAATATGAGCAACTACAGTAGCTCTTCTGTGTAATTTGGCCAGACGGGCTATGCACCACTTTTGGTAGAAAACCTGTCAGAGTATTTATATCGGCAGACATTTTGTGCTATGATAGAAACTAAAAGTGTATATTCTGAGTCACTCTGAACAGACCAGACTCCATTTTGTTATTCCAAGTTAACAAAGACAAAGAGACACAGGATTTCTTTCTGTAAGACTGGCCTCTTTGCCAGAGCTAAGGAATGCATAGTATATACAAGCCAAGTGATAAGGAAGGGGGTTGGACAGACTGTCTAATGCTAATGGAATATAATCAAATCTAAACCCAGACAATTGTGACAGAAGATTAAATAATAAAATTTAACTGTCTATATATATATATAAAGGTACCATTGTATGGAAAAGGGTAAGAAGCTTAGTTCTTGATCTCTGCCATATCAGAATTATAGCAGATTTGCCAGACACATAGTCTGGACAAAACTAAAAGAACCCCTTTGAAATTTTAAATTATGGCACTATAAAGATAACACAAAATGACTTCAAAATAGCCAACCAGAAAAGTTAACTCTTTCCTGGATAGGTATGTTTAGTGGGACAAGACTGCCCTCTATAGACTAAATACCTAAATTGCGATCTGGAAGATAACCACACCTTTAGTGCTTCTATTGGGTTATTAACTGATGACGTACAGAGAGTCTGGCCCTTTAAAAGTTAGGACAAAGGGAAGATAGAGATAAATGCAAAGGAGAAAGGAAAAATAGGAGATATGGAAACAGAAACAACCAATCTGCTTCCAATAACTCCCAACAGTCTCAGCCATCCCAGCCAAATTCTAATGGGCAAAGACAAAACGGCAATGGGGGAAATAATTTGCGTCGTCAGGTTGGTCAATTGACAGACCAGATGGGCAAATTAATGGAGGAAATGACAAAGATTAACCAAGTCTTTGCTCTCAATCCTTTTTTAGGGATAGCTCCAATTGCAGAACTACCTGTGCAACCGCAGCAACAACAACAGGTGCCGCAGCAATAATAGCCACTGTGACTAAACAGGCTACCGTGTTTCTCCGAAAATAAGACCGGGTCTTATATTAATTTTAGTCACAAAAAACACACTAGGGCTTATTTTCAGGGTAGGGCTTATTTATTTACGGTACCGGTATGTACATTGAACCCCCCCTTTAATTAATCCACCCCCCTCTAATTAATCCACCCCCTCTAATTAATCCACCCCCTCTAATTAATCCAGCCCACCCTTTAATTAATTCACCCCCTCTAATTAATCCAGCCCACCCTTTAATTAATTCACCACCCCTTTAATTAATTCACCCCCCTCTAATTAATCCAGCCCACCCTTTAATTAATTCACCACCCCTTTAATTAATTCACCCCCTCTAATTAATCCAGCCCACCCTTTAATTAATTCACCACCCTCTAATTAATCCAGCCCACCCTTTAATTCACCACCCCTTTAATTAATTCACCCCTCTAATTAATCCAGCCCACCCTTTAATTAATTCACCACCCCTTTAATTCACCCCCTCTAATTAATCCAGCCCACCCTTTAATTAATTCACCACCCCTTTAATTAATTCACCCCCTCTAATTAATCCAGTCCATCCTTTAATTAATTCACCCCCCTTTAATTAATTCACCCCCCTCTAATTAATCCAGCCCACCCTTTAATTAATTCACCACCCCTTTAATTAATTCACCCCCTCTAATTAATCCAGCCCCCTTAATTAATTCACCCCCCTTAATTAATTCACCCCCCTTTAATTAATTCACCCCCCTCTAATTAATCCAGCCCACCCTTTAATTCACCCCCCTTTAATTAATTCACCCCCCACCCCCTTTAATTAATTCAGTCCCAGACATAAAATATCTACCGGTACTCACATTTCAAAGTTTCCTTGCCGAGTCCGACCACTGGGAGCCTCACCGCCTGGAAATGGATCCTTCCGCTGAAGATCCGTGAAGGCAGACTGACGGCGCTGCAAAATGTCGTCATCACGTTGCGCGATGCCGCGGCCCGCAACGCTCCTCCTACAGTAGAAGAAGGAAGTCTCGCCGAAAAGGTAAAATGCCTAGGTCTTATTTTCGGGGTAGGGCTTATATTGCAGCCCACCCCGAAAATCCGACTAGGGCTTATTTTCGGGGTAGGGTTTATTTTCGGGGAAACACGGTAGGTTGTCAGTAGATGTAATACCTAACCCTGTTTCCTTTCCAGGTACTAACAGTCAAACAAACAATAGTTGTGTAAGGAAACCTATTGCCTATACAGTCACTTCACTTCCGGGTGAAGGAGGCGCAACGTGTTCCTCTGTTTTTTCATTTCAGCCAAAGGCTAAAGTAGCCCCAGCAGCCACTAGTTTCCAGGATCCAGACCTGAAAGGGTTAACTGATGAGATGCCGACCACTAGTTCCCGCTTGACAGATCAAGATATTCCTAAAAAGGATGGGCCTGTGGGTAAGACTGAGCATTCCTCAGTACAGGTAGAAACTACTGCTGTGACCGGTAATGTATGGAAAACAAGTAATATGTTGACACATTCTAAATTCTTATGTGAATTAGAAGAACATGAAGGAAGGTACTACATGTCTGTAGAAATACAGGATTCGTTACCCCAGCCTTTTAAAGGGTTAATAGATACTGGTTCACAAGCCACTATCTTATCCAATACCTACTTCCAGCAGGTAATGGACTTAGCAACGGATAAGCCGAAGCTAAGAGATTTCCCCAATGCTCTGTTGAGTGTAGGAGGAAATGCCCTTCATGTTATTGGCAATACCTGGTTAAAGTTTAAAATAGGTAACAAAACCTTTAGACACCCGGTGATAGTGGTAGATCTCCCCTATGACCGACTGATTCTGGGTATAGACATACTCAGAAGACTTAACACAATTATTGACTGTGTAAATGGAATTGTATGGTCACAAGCTAAAGTTCCCATAACCTATGAGAAATCACATGTACAATCTGATCGTAACTGCCATGTGATAGAAGAAAGACCTGACTCAATTGAGGTACATTTTAGGAATAGTCAGTCACCTGACGTGACTATCCTGCAGGTGAATGATGCAATCGCACCTGTAGATGGGCATTCCATAAGAATTGCTCCAGAGAGGATCCAGAATGTCTCTCTGGAAGGTGATGTTTTAACCATTTCTCTCCACAGGGACTATGTTGAATCTGTAGATCTGGCAGGTCGTGCTCAATTCCTTGCCAAAATTGAAAGGGTTAATAACAACTTATTCTTTCCTATTCAAATAAATGACTTAGGAAGAAGTAGGAATGCAAAGCTGGACTTAAAGAGTGAGAACAGCTATATTAGCAGAAGTCTGTTAAAGCAGATCGCTAATCCTAAAATAATCAGGTACGCTTCCCCACATGACAGGTGGATCCAGAATCTGGATGGCGAATCAGAGAGTCACAATGTGATAGCAAAATGTTTACTATCTATTTCCATCGGAAATAAGACAGTTAAACATTTATTCCTAGTGATAGACGAACCTCGCTATCAGGTTTACGTTGGCAATGATGTCATACTTCGCTTTGCCATACACCTTGACCTGATTAATTCCAACTTGTGGACAAGGTTAAAAGGTAATCCTTGTGGATACCTTCACGAGGAAATCGCCCTGAAATCAGGACAAATACTCCCATATGCGGTAAGTATCCAAGTACCTGATGACACAACCATTCCACAAGGGACAAGTAACTTTCTTTTACCCCTACAGGTCAAGGAGGGTCAGAGATTAGAAAACTCTGATGCCCTAATCTGTTTATCCAACAGGATAGAACAATTAGGGATGGTGGTAACACATACACCAATGGTAAGTATTGGTAGGAATCCCACCTATATCATGGTCAACAATGTTACACCCAATAGTGTTACTTTACCAAAAGGAACATTATTAGGTCTAGCATTGGATGCTGAGTACTATACATTTGGTTTCCAAAACCAAATTATAGGCCTCATCCCTGAAGAATACTTAACTGAGGATGAAATTGTCGATCAAATATTCCATTCCTCCCCAGAAGGATTATTCACTATCCTATCTGTGTATCCCTTCAACATCGAAGAAGGCTCGTGTAAAATCGAAGAAGCATCAATCACCTTCAATCATCCGCTCAATGAGCAGGAATCACAAGAGTATCACGACCAAAGAGAAAAGGTAAGTTAACACCGAACTGACCTAACTTCTAGGCTTGAAGAAGCTTATGAGATAGGCCAGCCTGAAATCTTTCCAGGATTTCAGGAAAGGCTAGAAGAACAAATATCTTTAGCTGACGGTTGCTCCAACGATGCTGAGCGGCAACAGCTAAAGGAAATCCTTTTGGAATTCCAAGATATTTTTGCCAAAGATTCCTACGACTGTGGGTTAACTAACCTCCACGTAGCCAGAATACAAACTGATCCAAATTTACCACCTGTATTTATCAAACAATATAGACTCCCATTAGCGTCATATGATGATCTACAAGACATCATTCAGAATTTAAAGGAAAGGGGCATTATACGTCCAGTGCACAGTTCGTATAATAATCCGATCTTGGGGATTCTGAAACCTAATGGACAATGGCGTTTATGCGCTGACTTACGACAGCTAAATAAATGCGTCTATATGTCTGGTTGGCCAACGCCATACATAGACCAATGTTTGGTACAAATGCAGGGATCCAAAATATTCACTGCCATTGACTGTGCGCAGGGATATTGGACTGTACCAGTCCATAATGAAGACCAATACAAATTGGCCTTCACATTTGGAAAGCAGCAGTATACCTGGACCCGTATGCCTTTCGGTTATATAAACTCTGGTCATGAATTCGCTGTGTTCATGCATAAAGCTATGCCTGACGCACTCGAGAGAGGAACGTTATCATATGTCGACGATGTCTTGCTGAAAAGCACTTCCTTTGATAAGCATATCTTAGAGATTAGACATGTTCTCACTCAGTTAAGAGAGGCAGGGATTAAACTGTCTTTACAAAAGGCGCAATGGTGTCGCACCCATGTCAATTTCCTCGGACATGAGGTAACTTCTGAAGGATTAAATCCCCAGAGGAAGAAGGTTGAAGCCGTACTAAAGGCTAAAACACCTTCAAACATCAGGGAATTAAGATCGTTCCTTGGTATGACTAACTACTCCCGTAAGTTTATAGATAACTATGCAGAAATAACAAAACCACTCTTACACCTGCTTAAAAAGGAAACTACCTGGAACTGGGGGGAGCCTCAGGACCAAGCGGTAAGTGAACTGAGGAGGAAGCTCACTCAGGCACCCTGTTTAGCATACCCAGAGGGGGTTAAACCCTTCTATCTGGAGACAGGATATACTGATTTAAGCATAAGTGCTGTTCTGTATCAGAAGCAGGACAGTTTAAACAAGGTTATTGCATATGCTAGCAAGACTTTGTCACCTGTTGAAGTTAAATTCAACACGTGTGAGAAGGCGTTATTGTCGACTGTCTGGGCACTACAAAATTTTCGTAGCTATATCCAAGGTGAGAAGATAATTGTAGAAACAGCTCACCAACCTCTACAGTATCTGCAGAGTGAAAGAATTAGAGACGGTAATCTCTCTAACAGTCGGATTACTGCATGGACTCTATCCTTACAGGGATGGCCGTTAGAAGTCCGTTATAAACATAATAAGAGAAGTCCAGTTGCCCAAGGTTTAGCAGAATTACATGACTATACTGCTCCATCTCTGGATGATAATGACACCGGAGATGATTTCCTAGAAGAGCAATTGCTATCTCCTTATAAAGTTTATGACGAGGAATACTGTTGACCACTACCGTGGGTATACATTGATGGTTGTTCATATCACCACGTCGTTGGTGCTGAACGGAAGTTAGTTGCAGGTATCGGAATCGCCTGGACAGGTGATTATCCTAATGTATCTACAATATTGGTCCCAAAAGCAGTCAGATAGCCGAACTCTGTCCAGTATATAAGACCATTAAAATGGCAATAGAATATGGTATTAAAGAATTTGTTATTATAACTGATTCCAACTATGTTCGCAACAGTTTCGTCGAATATCTGCCTAGCTGGAAACGTAACCAAATGCTGAAAAGCAATAACAAACCTGTTAAACATGGGAAATTGTTTTGTAAAATCGATGAACTGGTTAAGGAAAATGGTTTAACCATCTACTGGAAGAAAACCAAAGGCCATTCTAAAATAGAAGGTATTGACAAGGATGGTAATGACTTAGCCGATTCACTGGCAAAACAAGCTGCCATCAATGGTGAAACCCTAAACATTGATGATCTTATGGGTTCAATTCATGTTGAAGCCATAACTAGACGACAGGCTAGAGATAATGCCGACTTAAACGTTGTGCAATGGAGTCAAGAAGCTCCTAGTGAGGACCTGATTACCAGTCAAAAGAATGATCCCGTCATAGGAATATTCTATAGACATATAGAAGACCCTACTGCCAATCCCATCACAGATGAGGATTGCAAAGATAATGAAGATTTACGAATCTTGATGCGATATAAAGTCCACTTTAGTATCATGGATGGGTTACTGGTCAGAACTTCTAAACATGGTATACAACAATGGGTAGTCCCAACTGTATACAGGGGGTTAATGCTCCAACACGCACATGATGCACCTACATCTGGGCATCGTGGTGATAAGATCACATATGAGATATTGCGTGATTATGCATATTGGCCGCACATGTTAAGGGATGTTAAGACATACTGTCAGGGATGCTTGATTTGTCCGCAATATCAACCCCATGGTCCAACCCATCGTGCACCACTTCAGAAGAGGTGGGTGTCATTACCCTGGTCTGATATTCAAATTGACTTTATAGGTCCTGTAACAAGATCTTCAAGAGGTAACAAATACATGTTAACCGTTACATGTATGTACACAAAGTGGATAGAATGTTTGCCTTGTAAAGAGAACACAAGTACCCTGTGCGTCACTTTGTTGATTAACCATGTCTTTTCCAGGTTCGGTCTGCCTCAAAGAATTGAGTCAGACAGAGGTAGTCATTTTACCAGCGAAGTAATGGCTAAGATGTGGAACATTCTAGGTGTTAAACGAAAGCTACATATTGCATACCGCGCTGCGTCTAGCGGGGGGGTAGAGCGATATAACCAGTCTATCGTTAATATTCTGAAGAAGTATGTTAAGGAGTCTGGTAAAGACTGGGACATTAAATTGCCCCTAGTTTTAATGGCGATTAGAGCTACACCTAGCACTGCTACCAAATTGTCACCTTTTGAATTGATGACAGGAAGAAAGATGGTTTTACCACAGCATTTACTATATCGTACTTCGGATCATAACTTGATCAATGCTGCCACTACGCATCAGTAAATCGAAGATTTGCGCAAGCATTTACAGCATGCGTTTGCTTTTGCCCAAAAGAATCTAGAAAAAGCAGCGACAGGGGTTAAGACCTATTGAGATCTAAAAACCACGAAAAAGGAATATGAGATCACAGATCAAGTCTATCTGTATAACTTTGCACAAAATCAAGTTAAGGAAAATAAATTTTTACCTTCTTGGAAAGGGCCATATGTCATCATTGCCAAAATTCCCCAGTAGCGTACAAGATAAAAATTCCTAAGGATGGTGATTTTATTGAAAAGTGGGTTCACATTAACCAGTTGCGTGCTTGTCATCCTAAATCTCAATTAAGGATTATAGGTGTGGATTCGGACGCAGAAGGGTGAACGACTAACCTGGATGAATGCTTGATTCACGTGGTATAGTATGATGTGAAATGTTGTGATGTGCCATGATCTCATGTACGTTCATGTCATTAACCATTTCCTTGCCATCCAATAACTACATTTTCTAAGCAGGTTACTAGCTTGTTTAGCTGCTATAGGCATATTGCTGAGGAGTCAGTAATAAATGTAGTGAGGGATGAAGTTATAAAAATAGAATTAGACAGAATACATATGTTGATGAATCGTAATAATGTGTTGTCCTAGGCCAAGTGATGTCACACTGTTATAAGTTTGTATGTTTAACAAACCTTGAATCATTAGTAGATAAGTCTGGAACGAGTTCCTGATCCGTGACTGTCGAAAGATGGCCAAGAAGGATGTGGCGTGTTTCTGGATCGTACTGCTCCTGTGCCAAGAGCTACGGACCGACCCGATCGCAGAGATGGGACCATCATCCGGCATCCTGATTCAAGAGACACCAGGGTTCATCTTAACGGAGAAGAGGATCCTGACCCGACGTGTGTTCGTCAACTTGGACCCCAAGATTTCCATCGAGAAGGCATACAACATTTCATCGATGCAGCTTCCTGAGTTACAGACTTGGTACCAGATGCACCTCCAAAGAGCACAGGACCGTGTGCGAAACATCTTGGAGCAAGCCCGGAAACCATTTGTATCCAGTTCTATTCCGATGAGCAACCGACCCAAAAGGTTCCTCACCGCTATAATTGTTGCATTAGTTTGTGCCACTGTCGGTGCAGTTGTCGCAACTGGAATGTTTGCAGCCAACTCTATTATTGTCCAAAAGCTGGATATGGAAATATATGCGCTAAAGCAACACATTAACGATATTCATCAGGTGATACAACAGCAAAGAACACTTCTCCAAGACATGTTAACTATTGTGGAAGACACAGTTGTTACAACAAATTTGCATTCGGAGTTAATTGCCAAATCCACTGAGTTGCACCAAAGTCATGACTTATTTAAGCGTGAACTTCTATTTCTGCATGACCCAATATTGTTCCACACACTTGCTTTTCTCGACGAAGTGCAAACTGGAATGATCGAATTGGCAGGGGGACGCATACCTCTGTACTTTGTATCCAAGGATATTGTTCATGCGATGCTTGCCAATGTGGATGGAGAGACAATTGAGCCTATGCAACTAAATCTGGCCTTTGAGATGGGGAGCGCTATACCTCTCTTAATTGATCCGGAACGTATGGAGATTTGCTTTTTATTGGCCATACCATATGTAACTCTCAAAGACATTTTTTTTTAAATGAAAAAATGTGCTATGATAATAATGATATTATGGTTGATTGTACTAAGCGTAAAGTTCAAAACTTTTACAGGTACAAATATATACAAAAATGTTCATTCCACGCACGGACCTATGTTAGAAATGATGTGATTGCACAATATGTCTGGTAACTTCTATAGTGCTTATTTATAAGCTAAATTAATTTTGGCTATGAAATGCACTAAAGGGGGGTTATGTCAGGGTATTTATATCGGCAGACAGCTATGATAGAAATTAAAAGTGTATATTCTGAGTCACTCTGAACAGACCAGACTCCATTTTGTTATTTCCAAGTTAACAAAAAGACACAAGATTTCTTTCTGTAAGACTAGCCACTTTGCCAGAGCTAAAGGAATGCATAGTATAAACAAGTGATAAGAACGGGGGTTGGATAGACTGTCTAATGGAATAGATCAATTCTAAACCCAGACAATTGTGACAGAGAAGATTAAATAATTTAATTTTACAGTCTCTATATATATTTAAGGTACCATTGTATGGAAAAGGGTAAACTTAGTTCATGATCTGCCATATCAGAAATTATAGCAGATTTGCCAGACACATAGTCTGGACAAAACTAAAAGAACCCCTTTGAAATTTTAAATTATGGCACTATAAAGATAACGCAAAATGACTTCAAAATAGCCAACCAGAAAAGTTAACTCTTTCCTGGATAGGTATGTTTAGTGGGACAAGACTGCCCTCTATAGACTAAATACCTAAATTGCGATCTGGAAGATAACCACACCTTTAGTGCTTCTATTGGATTATCAACTGATGACGTACAGAGAGTCTGGCCCTTTAAAAGTTAGGACAAAGGGAAGATAGAGATAAATGCAAAGGAGAAAGGAAAAAGAGGAGAGAGGAATTGGAAGTTTGGGGACTCCAACCTCCATGCAGAGAGACATCCAAATAGGTTCCTGAGACTACCAATCGGATGAAATATCTACTCAACTGGTAATTATACTGGTTTCATTTAATTAATTAAATTAATTAAAATGTATTAATAGCATTATATATGACTGGATAAAGCACGGTCAGATTTCCATATTAAGAAATCTTAGTTAACTAAAGAATATATAGTTATAAACATTCCATTCTGCAGGTGGAATTAAGAATAATTATATATTGATGTGATATTATCACGTGGTAGCATACCGTTGTTTTTATCCAGGTGTATTGATTTGCTCTAAATTAAGATAAGATATCTTTTAGACAAATTAAAATCTGCTTATATAATATGGTAGATTCTCTTATTGGATGGTTCCAGGAAATGACTAATGAACTGGTTTAAATGTTAATTTATTTAGAAATTACATAAGAATAGATCTTAATTATCTAGGAGATCTAGCCAGCATTGAAAGGGTTATTCTAACTGTTAGCAAGGGTTTTATGGCCCCTCGCTTTGAAAAGTTTCGCTCTATGTCTGTGTGAAAGATAGTCATAAATAAAGTCTTGACAGAAAATGCTGTAATAGCCATTGAAACGTAATACCCATTCCTTTGTATTGCATACCATTTTATACTGAACATTCATTGATTATTGTCATGCATGTTACATATTATTAATTAATTAATTTGTCATTATAAAATAAATCTATTTTTATAACAAAAATTGTGATATTATTATATGAAATACTTCTCACTTAACACGATAACGATATTTGGGATCTGAGAATTGAATTAGTGGGCAATTCTCAACTGTTTACTATTATTATCCCATAAATATCCCCACAAACCACTGCATACCGAGAATACCCCACAAGAGTTGCTGGTTTGGACATGCTCTGACCCAGTAATCTAGCCATTACTATTTGTCCCTGGTCCAAGTAACTCGCATCTTTCAGTTTGCCCATTTTTCCATGATTCTAACAAATGCAATTCAAGAACTGACTGTTCACTTTCTGTCTAATATATACCACCCCTTCACAGGTGCCACTGGGACAATATAATTAATGTTATTCACTTACATTCACAGTGGTTTTAATCTTGTGGCTGATCAGTGTAAACCCCTTATATGCTATCCCTATGAAAATAAATGGATCCAAAATAATAAGTGATAACTGATCGATAACTTTTTCTGACTTTAATACGGAATTGCAAGACAGTTTTCAATGCAATCACAATCCAAATTTTACAGACATTTTACTGTTTGTAATGCTGGTGAAGCCAGATGTCAGAAATATGTTTCAAGGTAGATAAACACAGAACATTTTACGTGTTGTAAACATGTGTATTTGTTTATGTATTCATTTTGCTAGGTTACTATGTTTCGCTAGTTACTGTACTTTCTTGCCCACCAATCAGGATATAATTGATTAATTAGGAATCATTAGTTGCTTGTATACATCAAGTCAGGGGAGGTATTGCGGTGTACGTTCTGCCCATGCACAAAGTTAATATGGGTGATTGCTTATATATTAAATATTTGTTGCTATATCAGAAAAAGGCTTCTCTCTGGAGAATATTAGTATTAACAATGTACTTGAATATTATTATATTATGTGCTTATATATTAATATTTTGTACTTGGCTCTCCTTAAATTACAACTTGTGATACTCTAAAAACCCCAATTTGTGATATTATAAAAAATCCTAGAATCCACAAAGCTCGAGATTGGGAGGTTAAGGAGGAAATCATGGTTTAGACCCAGGTTTTAGATTATAAAATTTTCTGTCTTTAACTGGATTACTGGCAGAAGAAAAAAAAGGTTTGTGAAACTGGGATTGTGATTGCTTTAATAACTGAAAGTCAAAATGTATTATCAGAACTGGTTCGTAAAGTAGGCTTTTTTTTTTATGCAGACCTCAAAGTCCTAGGCATAACTCACCTTGCTAAATTAAAGGCATCATCAATGATTTGGGCACGGTTGATAACAGGAATTGTCTGTAAGATAACGAGATACAAAAAAAGGAAAAACAATTTAACAAGAAACTTTGTCTGTCAAAAGTGTCTGATACACATTGCTATTCTTTAGTATATTGACATGTGGGTTTGTCATGTTGGAAGGTAAAAGGGTAGCAACACTAAAGTGCTTACTCCAGTAAGATGCGTCATTCATTTTCTTTTTTCCCACAAGTTGCTGTTACACCAGTATTACCCAACACTTCTCAATTTGATCAGATATAAATAATTGATGGTGTGCAAAGACCATTTGATGTAAAGATGACCTTCAACGGGATGGGTCCTCAATAGTGATGTCCCGAACGGTTCGCTGAACTTTGACCCTGTACCTCACAGTCAGCAGACACATTCCAACCAATCAGCAGCAGACCTTCCCTCCCATCCCTCCCACCTCCTGGACAGCTCACTAAGAATGCAGCTTCACAATGAATGTAAAATGGATGCTGTCCAGGAGGTAGGAGGTGGGAGGATCTGGGAGGGAGGGTCTGCTGCTGATTGGCTGGAATGTGTCTGCTGACTGTGAGGTACAGGGTCAAAGTTTACTCAATGATGAGTCCGTGGCGAACCGTTCGCGACGAACCTTTCGGGACATCACTAGTCCTCAATATCCCAATTCAAAATGATTCTAACATGATTCTAACACAGCAATTTTAAGTTCTTTGAAAGTGCATTATGCTAGCATGGCGACATCTGTGGATACAAATGATATATGTCACCATGTTGGTGGAGCTAAATTTCAGAATATGTAAAACAGGTGTCCCGGAGATTTCTTAAATTATACATTGGTAAATATCGGACAATGATTTCAGTAGAGAACACTATATTTTATGCTTATGGCATCTCATTTCCAGGATTACCTAAACTGGACCAATAGACACATATAAGGCTACTAGACTCTACTTCCCAAATAAAAAAAATATAATAATATAATTTTTGTTCTCATTTTACAAAAGAGGATTTACTCTACATAAAACATTTTAGCAAGATAAAGTAAGGCCTGGAGTGTCGCTTTAACCTCAGGACTCTGATATTTTTTCCGATGACAAAAATATAGTTGTCTTATCACCACCTCAAATGGAAGCACTTCCTCCAGAATACTGATCCTCAATAGTACCTTCACTAATAGAAAAAAAGGCAACTTTCTAATTTAGTTATAACAGACTATAATCAATCATGTATGCTGCAATGTTAATTTCCAATGCTTCGTTGTCAGTGGCATTTGCATTATCTTTATTATTCATAATTTTGTAATTATTTTTTAACCAGGAAACACACTATGGTTGTGACTGCCCCAAGTCAGAAATGTGTTTTCCAATTGACCTGATCACAGTGTAACCCTCTCAATAAATGAACTCTCTAAGAACCAACAGTGTCTTACTTCATATGCAACCCCCGGCATTCACTAACATGAGCAAATCAATGATACCTCCTGTCACTTGTGGGAGCTCCTGAGAGAATACTTGTGTAGATCCCAATGCTGGTGACAAAAAGTACTCAACTATATCACTCATAACTGACACCAGGAGAGAAAAAAAAAAAAAAAAACTTACATTTACTGATGTCAGGAGGATTGCTTACAAAGAGAAAGTAACATTTTATATCTCTTTTCTCAAAATGCTTAGCCAATATTTTCCCACTGTTCTTTGACAAAAAATATAATTGCACTTAAAGTACAGCTAGGGATTTACTTGTTGCCAACCCCTTATCCAATGTTTAGGTGGGAAAGACATTATTTCTACGAAACTCACCAAAGGGTCCGTCTCCAGTTGTGCAATGAGCTTGTTCCAATTTCCATCATCATAATTAACCCTGTAGTATCCAGTTACATTGATGTTTGCTAAAAGCCATTCATTTTCCCCAGTCTTAAAATCATTGTTTGTTTCTAGCCGTGGGAAAAATAGAAAGTACTCTCAGTTAAAACTCATCTTATTCAAGTGAATTCTGTTAGTTCAGCTGGGTACTATTAATCCAAATGGGTACTGCCATTAGTTCAATTGGATACTATTAGTTTGTATACAAAATATCATCATATTTACACCACTAACAGGCCATTATCTACAATGGCAAATTGTCTTTCCATAGAGACCAATACATTAGGAGAGCGTACTGTGCATACTTTATGAAATGTAAAAACATATTTTTACACAAATTAAAAATGTTGTAATTATATTAATTAAAACTACAAAAAGAAAGTAATACGTGAAATGCAAAAAGAATTTTCACCATGTGAATGCTGAATATCTTTAAGGAAGTGCAAACATATATTACATCAAAAAATGGGTCGCAAGAGTATTCTGAGAACCGACAGCAGCTAAAATAGCCTGCCCTTTGGTGAGTCCCCGCTCAGAACTCAAGCTGGTTTTAGCTCATCTTGTGCCATTACAGAGAGAACATATCTGAGGCATATCAGACTGGTCCCACCCATACAGGCAGTCCAGATCTGAAATGCCAGCAAGTTCTCTCTGCACGAGAGATACAGCAACCCCAGACAATTGTTTCAGCCTTGTTAGGCATCATCAGTGAGGCATAGCTGATATCTCTCTAGGCACCGTGAGCAAGGGGTCCACGTCTGGATTACCCTTTAAATTAATGGAGAGCAAAAAATGGGTCGCAAGAGTATTCTGAGAACCGACAGCAGCTAAAATAGCCTGCCCTTCGGTGAGTCCCCGCTCAGAATTCAAGCTGGTTTTAGCTCATCTTGTGCCATTTACAGAGAGAACATATCTGAAGCATATCAGACTGGTCCCACCCATACGGGCAGTCCAGATCCGAAATGCCAGCAAGTTCTCTCTGTAATCCAGATGTGGACCCCTTGCTCACAGTGCCTAGAGAGATATCAGCTATGCCTCACTGATGATGCGTAACAAGGCTGAAACGATCGTCTGGGGTTGCTGTATCTCTCGTGCAGAGAGAACTTGCTGTCATATCGGATCTGGACTTCCCATCTGGACTGCCTGTTCTGAGGGGGGACCCACCGAAGGGCAGGATATTTTAGCTGCTGTCCATTCTCAGAATACTCTTGCGACCTGTTTTTTGCTCTCCATTAGTTTAAAGGATAATCCAGACGTGGACCCCATGCTCACAGTGCCTAGAGAGATATCAGCTATGCCTCACTGATGATGCCTAACAAGGCTGAAACGATCGTCTGGGGTTGCTGTATCTCTTGTGCAGAGAGAACTTGCTGGCATATCGAATCTGGACTGCCCGTATGGGTGGAACCAGTCTGATATGCTTCAGATATGTTCTCTCTGTAATGACACAAGATGAGCTAAAACCAGCTTGAGTTCTGAGCGGAGACATACCGAAGGGCAGGCTATTTTAGCTGCTGTCCGTTCTCAGAATACTCTTGCGACCTGTTTTTTGCTCTCCATATATTACATCAAACCTTTTATTAATAACCCTTGTTATTAATAGTAAAGTAGGGTAGTGGATGCATGGAATAACCTTGCAGCTGAAGTGATAGGGGTTAACCCAGTAAAGGAGTTTAAGCATGCGTGGGCTAGGCATAAGATAAGGTAAGGCCAGGGACTAATGAAAGTATTTAGAAAATTGGGCAGACTAGATGGGCCGAATGGTTCTTATCTGCCGTCACATTCTATGTTTCTATGTTGTTGGTAAAAATGGGGTTCCATGTAATGAGTGTGTTTAATTGGACCTGACCTTCAGATGAGACCTACAGTTAAGTATATAACCACGTTGACACAAATGGTTAAAATTAAACAAACTGACAGCTGATTGATATATATTACTATTACCCAACTTAATAAAGTTCATTTTATTGAACTCACGAGCAGAAAAGGCCAAGTTGATCCTGCCAACCGACTCTAATCCTGAGGGTTCAACAGATGTTGGTGCATTAACCCACAAATTTATATCCCCAGATATTGAAAGTTGAGAAAAAAACAAAACTATGCAAGACAAGGTTTGAAACATACCACACTCCCATAATGCACGAGTAAAAATACACATTTAATGCACATCATGCATAGATAGATCATCTTTGTGCAGGTATACAATTAATCCATAAATTGTGCTGGTGAAAGGATCAGTAAAGGCAAAAATAAAAAATAAATATTGTATGAAACTTGCTTCAACTTGGCGACCACATGTCAACTGAACAATTGCTAACACGACTCCCTATAGATGATTTGTTTATAGTACGCTCTGTTATGCCAGGCTGGGCAGAATTTGTAAAGAAGCTGCCTAATTAGCACTTAAATGAAATGCATAATTTACTCAAACACCGGAAAGTCATCTTGGAAATATTTAATGATTGGGTACTAATGGAGAAATTGATTTAGTAAATCTCCAAAATAGAACTGATGATATGAATTACAATTAATTACTTAAGTAAGTTGTGAAGAAGATATATGATATATATATATATTTTTTTTACCTGAAGAATTCTGCAGCCAGTAGTTTTTATAGACATTATTTTTTGAATATGAAATTGGCACAATCCAGGTGTAACTGGAAAACAGACAATAATTATACAATAATAAACATATCATAAAATTGTTATTGCCTGAACAATCTGAAGTTAGATACCAAAATGTATATGTTTAGCATTTTGGGGTAACTTTTTGGGGGGACAATGTGTGTACTTTGCATTTTACAGATTTTATAAAACTACTGGAGAGGTAAACTAAATGCAGAAGTTTTAAAGACATAATATTATATATAAAATATAACTCTATAACCCAAAAAACAATGGAATCGTCTGTAAGGTGTCACATTTGGTTCTTTAAGCAAAGTCCAGTAATCCCATGAGACACCTGAACATTGTGGTTAAAATATCCTATGCAGATTGTTAACATCATTACTGTAAATGTGGCTTCCAGAAAATATTTGTAAATTTTTAACGCAGCTTGCTAAAAGCTTGGACCAATTCTGGTTGTTGATCTAATTGAACAAAACTTCAATGCACACAGAGCAAAAAGCTTGCAACTCAGAGTTCATTATATTCCCCCAAGATTCAGAGAGGGGACTATTATCTGTGGTCTTAGTGTGGAATCTATGATCAAGAAAATGTTTATCTACTTTAATTAAACAATTTCCATGGAAACATTTGTGGAAAAATTCCAATTCAATTACCACAGAAAGTTATCTCTTTTCATAGATTCTAGAATTTGGTACTAGGTTCCTATAGTTATGTTATAGTATACTATACTTTTTCTACCAATGTCCCCATTTACAGAGAGATACCTCATATCTCCCCCATGTAAAAAAATAAAAAATAAATAAAAAAACTGATGTCCATAGAGTTCAACCTTGAAAACATAGCTTTGTATGTTCCCTCAATTTGTACGAGTGTATCGTGATTAGCGTTTCTCATTTGTTTTTCTCAATATTTCCATACATTGTGTCTCATGTATGTATAATGGTATTAGTAGGAGCTTAGGGTAATTGTGGACAAAACAAAGTTACCAATATGGAAATTCATACATTCATAGGTCACATTCTGTTAGGTTCCTCTGGGATTTATCTACCTTTTGGAACTTTACTAAATTTAATTTTATACATATGCTTTTTGTGTTCTACGCACTTAAACTCAGATGGACGTGTCACGTTAGAGCCCGGATCCAAGAGGAAGTGTTTCTGAGTTATAAGTCCAGTCGTTGTGTCTACTGTTACCACTGGGAATCCCATCTGTAGGACCCACGTGTCCATGATCCTAGCCACTGACTGAGGTAGGTATGAAGATGACAAGTTTGTTTCAACTGCCTAGGAGTAACGAAATGTAATTGAAATAGTATATAACCCATATACACAAGCAACATTAAATGTCAAAAAAAAAAATCAGGTTTGATCAACACCCCTAAAGAAGCAGTTTTACCTATAGCATGATTATTTATACGAAATATATGTTTCTAATACGGCTACTTACGGTTTGCAAATGAGTCCACAAGTCACTGTACACTGTGCTATTATATTCAAATGCTTTCAGGTAGGTCTGGAAAAAATAAAAATGCTCTTTTCTTGTGTCAAATTATATGGAATAAAGTAATAGTTACATAATATTTAATAATACATACAGTTTTGTATATTTCACGAATGGAACAAAAATCAATGTGCAATAAAATAAGGATATATCAGGTTTTGGAATAAAAACACATGAAATATTTGATTTTGATTTGTTGAATGTACTTACAGCTAATCCTTCAACAAACACTTCCTCGGTGATAAAGTCAGATAACATGCGAATAACTGATGCACCCTAGATGACAATGAAAATAAATATATTTGAATAATGCAAAGTTTCTATTTATAACCCCATGTATTCATGGTATACTTCAATTAATGACCAAACCTAGCAAAATCTTTCGTTACCAATGCCATACTCTACTTGGACCATCTTGTTACCCCCTACAGTCGTAAGTTTTTGTTTTTTTGTTTTTATTTAATTTACTTATTCTTTACATTTAACTAAAATGTGCTTGTGAGGTCTAAACTGGAACTAGAACAGAGTGGCTCCAAACAGACAAAGCTTTGCTCTTTTCTGCCATTAAACAAATTATAGGAGCCATGGGAAACAGAAATAATGTTTCCCTATCTTTGTCGCGACAAAAGAAAAAAAAAAAGACAGCACACTGTAGTTGGTTATGGTGCCAAGAGTGCCCTGGTGTATCTAAAATTTAAAGTAATCAAGCTGTTTGTGTGTCAGTATAAATGTTATAGATTCCAACAAAAACTTGCAAAAAGTGGAATCTAAAGTGGTATTTATTTTGAGATTGTTCTCAACTGCTTCTAGACCAAAAGCCTGATTAATCACTGTATAAAGTGAACATCTAATGTAGCCCACATATAATTTTCTTGCCATTCGATACAATCTAATTCTTGTAGTAAATGTTTAGTATCTTTAAGGTAGGACCTAGCTCCTTGTACATATTTCTGTAAGTGATAATCCAGAAACTGTGACAATTTAGATGTTAAAGAATCTATCCCACTAATAAATCGCTCTACCTGGTGGGTTCTTTTTAGATTTATGTATCTTTGGCAGAAAATAAAAGGTTGCCACTCTTGATATAAAAAATGATAGTATCGGATTTCTTAATGACAATATCTCTCCTCTCTTTTAGCGGTTTTAAAATGTGCAATTCCTCCCTCGTCATATTGCTACAATATTCTCAGAACTTAGGCAGAAAAGTGTTGATAAATTTCAGTCTCTTTTCTTAGAAAGACAGACTAACCACAATAATAAGAATGACAATGATTTTTTTAAAACAACTTGAGAAATTATTGATTAGAGAAACTAAACATTGGTGGGAAATCTCCTTTCTGGTTAGCTACATTAAAGCAGGATTGTTTCCAAGAGGCCTTAGACAGAATAAATATCCATCAAATGGGCTTGAAAAAACAATATTGATGAAAGTCATTGTGGATTTTGAAAACGAAAACATCAATAAAGTCACACAGGAATTAAAATTTTTAGATACAATTAATTGTCTTGATATGAATACTCCTGAATACATACAAAGAGAAAAAATTGTGTATAAAAGAGCACAAAAAAATGGATGAGAAAATTGCTGAAACCAAGGACAGAAAATATAAAAGAGATAAAAATGACAAAGAAACACAATGTTTTTCCATCTGTAATAAAAATAATATAGAGACAAGAGGAGTACAAATTGTAACCACTTTAACTACAACAAAATAAATAAAATTTCTACTTCAAAGAGAAAATCTTCAATCACAGGGAGAACTAACAGTGAGGGTAACACACATAGAACTATGAACATAACAGGCGAGACATGCATCTGAAAACAAAACAATTTGAGACAAACATCTCGAATAGAAATATGGATTACGACAATACTCCAGCTCAAGAATCTACCTCCCACAAGAGGGATTTTTTAAGAGAAGGGGCGATACCCCCAAAAAAGGAAACAAATCAATAAATATTTCCCCCCCCAAAATATTCAAAATTAGATATGTTAAATAGTCCTGAAAAAGAAGAGCTTTTAGGAATTTTTTAAATCATTTTTATTTCTGATGTCCCGTTAACCAAAGAAAAATTTATGATTTTAAATAAAGGTCTTACATTTACCCCTAATCTTCCACCTGACTCATTTCAACTTTTTATAGACATGCAAAAATTTACCAGAAAAAATAGTCTAAAGATATGTTTTATTAAGAGAAAGTACAAGAGTTCTATAGAAAGGAATATCATTTAAATAAAGAAGCAGAATAGAATTCCATTAAAAAGTTTAAACCAAGATAAACTTTCTGCCCACAAGAAAAAGGTAGCCAAATTGAAGCTTTTCATAAAATGGTATTGAAAGATTTTGAAAAATTGAGAACAAAGCGAGAATATTGTAACAATATGACGAGTAGGGAACTGCAAATTTTAAATCAACTAAAAGAGGAGAGATATTGTCATTAAAAAGGCAGATAAAGGGGGGAGGAGCCAGCACCCGAGTGAGTTGGACGCAGCTCCGTGAGGAAAACCAAATATAACGCTGAATACAGGTGAAAAGCGGCACATTTACCTAGCCACCCTAAGCCTCCCAAGTGCCTTACAATATGGGCAAGAAGGCAAAGAAATACAAAGCGGACCCGGGCTCGGGTTCCCGAAATATCGGGTCTTTCATGTGCACGGCCATGCGGCCAGACCTGTTCAAGATGGCACCTGCTGGGGCCTATACCTCCCCATCGTCGGACGACGAGAGCCCGACAGCCACTTACTCACCAACATCAAAGGTACAAGCGAAACCCACAACACCCCTGGAGCTGGGCGATTCAGCCCCTGCCACAAAAGCCGACATAAAGGCACTGGTGAAAGAAATACAAGCGATGTTCCAAGCTGACATGGCGCTGATCAGGGAGGAAGTCTCCACGTTCACAAGCTGGGTGGTGAAGGCAGAGGAGGGCCTCAAGGACGCAGGGGTATCCCAAACTGCCACAGTTGCAGCCCTGGTGTCGCTGCAAAAGCAATGCAGCACCCTAACTACACAACTAGCTAATCAGGAAGATAGGGCGAAGGCACGAAACGTGAGGATCCTAGGGGTGCCAGAATCAGTCACCAACTCTGAGCTATCCCACTACTGCCGGAGGCTGATAGCCACTCTGCTACTACCAAAAGAGGCAAAGCAAATAGGGGTGGACTCTTGCTTTCGACTAAACAAAGCCACCAAAGCTCCCCAGGAAGCTCCCAGGGATATACTTGTGAAGTTTGTTCGGGACTCTGACCTGGAGGTGCTCATGGGAGCCGCAAGAGGCTCACCCACAATTCAATTTGAGGGGGCACACTTAACATTGTATAGAGATATCTCCAGGCACACTGTGACGTGGAGGAGATCTCTCGGACAGATCACTCAACTGCTACGCGAGAACTCCATCACATACAAATGGGGGCAGCACCGACTGACGGTGGACAAAGCAGGCAAGACGCACCTTCTAACGCACAAGTCAGAAGCTCCAGTCTACCTTCGGGCCCTGGGCCTACCAGCAGACGCGGCCCCAGCGGACACTCAACCTTCATGGACTGTCGCTCACATCAGCCCGTTTGCGCCTAGGGGAACAAGACCGGGTGCACCTGATTCACCCACCTGAAACAAGCAGCGCCGACAGATTCATAGTTTTGTTTTGACAATGTATTATTGCAACATAAGTTTACTATTGATTTTACTATGTTTTGGTTAAATGTGCAGATTTTTGCAACCTCCATCTGGCTCTGTAAGCTAACAACCAGTCACCTTGCCCAGCAATTCCCCCCACCTTCTAACTAAACGTGCCCCTTCCCCGTGCTAGTGCACGCTTAACAGCTCGCATAGCTGGCACAACCGCCCATTGGCCTACGGCCACAAGCATATTATGCTCTTACCAGCCCTATGACAATGTCGTAGTTACTCAACACCCATTCACCTCAAGCTAAATTATACCCAGACAAAACCCTATCTGACAACCCGGAGGGTGCACTAGCTACCGTCCAGCAACCTCCAGATAAGAGATAGACTTGCCGATCGTGCAACCATGAGGAATTTATACTAGACAAACATAACATTTGGTGTATGATATACATGTGATGCTGTCTTTACAGTGAAATGTACTACATGCAGAATACCTATTGCTCACACGGTGTAATATGATGTTTACTATTAACCACAAAAAAAAAAGAATTTAAAAAAAAAAAGCATTTAATGGTGATGGCATAGTAGTGATGCCTTCTAGATACTATTTGGGAGAAGCATAGAGACTGCTGAATGATACCAGCACCTATAATAAACTACAGTATAATCCCAATAAAGACTACAATGCTGAACTATGCCTTTTTTTTTTTTTAAAGAAGCTGAAACCAAAGAGATTATTGACAAAGACATCTATCATTTTTTTTATCCAGACTTTCCAAGAGTGGCAACCTTTTATTTTCTGCCAAAGATACATAAATCTAAAAAGAACCCACAAGGTAGACCGATATTTAGTGGGATAGATTCTTTAACATCTAAATTGTCACAGGTTATAGATCACCACTTACAGAAATATGCACAAGAAGGTAGGTCGTACCTTAAAGATATTAAACATTTACTACAAGAATTAGATTGTATCAAATGGCAAGAAAATGATTTGTGGGCTACATTAGATGTTAGTTCACCTTATACGGTGATCAATCATGCTTTTGGTCTAGAAGCAGTTGAGAACAATCTCAAAATATATACCACTTTAGATTCCACTTTTTGTGAGTTTTTGTTGAAATCTATAACATTTATACTGACACAAACATTTTTTATGTTTAATGAATGAATATTTTCTTCAAGTCAAGTGCACCACCATGGGCACCACGTTTGCCCTAAATTATGCCAATATTTTTATGGATAACTGGGAACGTACGACAATATGGGATAATAATCCATATGGTGCAAACTTGGTGCTGTGGCAGAGATACATTAACGACATTATTATTATTTGGAATGGATCAAAAGAAACTCTAGAAGACTTCTTCCGTTGTATCAATGATAATGGTTTATCGCTTATTTTTACCCCTACATTTGATAAAAATCTGATTGACTTTTTTAGATCTCATGATTTATATAGAAAATCTTAATATTAAAACAAAGCCCTTTTTTAAACATACAGACACCAACAGCTTTATAGGAGCTGACAGTGGTGACCACCCAAGATGGCTTGGGAGTTCTCAAAAGTCAGTACACAAGGTTAAGAAGGAATTTCACTGATAGTGAGATGTATTATGAACAAGCTCAACTTTTAACTAATCAATTTTTTGAATAAGGATATGAGAGAGACTTTCTGGAAAAAGTAGTAGAGAGGGTAGGAAATATCAATAGTGGAGGTCTCCTTATAGATAAACCTAGACAGAATAAAGGTAAAAATAGTCACTTTGAATACTCGTTTAATATACATTTTAATCCAACATTTTCTTCTATTAATCATATTTTTAAAGAAACATTGGCCATTGTTGCAACAAGATGAATTTTTAGGGTCAGAATAACCAGACAAGCCCAATGTCAGTTTTAAAAAAAGAAAACATTTTATGAATCATTTGGCACCGAGCACTTTCAGAATTTAAAAAAAACAATTCAAGACAGAAAAAGAGAGGGTTTTTATAGGTATTGAAAGTGCAAAGCTTGTCGTTTTCTACCAGCAAGCATGCACACTTTTGCCAGCACCATTACAGGGGAGAGATTTAAAATTTAGAGATTTGTGTTACCTGCTCTTCAACACGTCGTATATATGCTCACATGTGGGTGCGGTATGCAATACGTTGGAAAAACATGGAGGAAAGCTTTTTTTCAGAACATATGAACAACATTAGGAAAAAAAAGTGACCACACACTCTGCTCCCAACCACTGCAACAAATGTTCTGATTTTAAATTTAATAATCTCACTTTTGTTGTTCAGGAACAAGTGTCTCTTGATGAAAAAAGGGGGGATATAATGGTGAAGCTAAGGAAAATAAATGGTTTTGGATTTATCGTTTGCGTTGAATGTATATTTTGATTTAATTAATTTTTTTGTGAGAATATTTTTTTCATTACCATTTTTATTACTATTTTTATTTTTACTTTAAAAAAAAAAAAAATTTATACCCTCTCCTACCTTGACTTCACATTATATCTATAACTCTGATTTACGATACTTTCCTTTCTGTTCACTATGTCATGTCTCATAGATATAAATGTATGTGTGTATATATATATATATATATAGTTAGTTGGAATATATTTCTTTAACATTTTAATATTTTAAGTCTAATTTTGCATGTCTCTCTTTTCCTTTATAAATTTCATTTTCTTATATGCGGGACATTTTTGAGACTTTATGAACTCGCCATTTTGCCGAAGAACATATGACACGAAGGAATGCATTCCACAGCTATTGCCAACAATATGATTTAGACATAAGCGGAACACATTCCCCGGAGTCAGAAGATGACATCATTGGAACGCATATGTGTTCCACTCAACAACTGGAACTCCAAATAAGGAATACAAAGATCACGTCTATTTCGAAGTGTAAAGATTGAGCTCAGGTGTGACAGGAGATTGGGATTGGCAATCCACCACCTGGCTTATGGACTTATGTGCACATTGTGAATTTAGACAACATTGAAAAGTATTTATTGCTTTTATATCCAGTAAATATTATTTTGAAATTAACTCTTTGCCACTGAGGAAGTCTTAATTCTAAAGACGAAACACGCAAGGCTGTTATTTATTTATAGTTACATTTAATTTATTTATATTTGTGTATCCTGTATCTGTAAGCACCTCTCCCATCCGTTGGATAGACCTGCCAGTGGAGATGAATGCTGGAAGTTGCAGGATTTGATTGATGGGCGACTTTTTAATTTTAATCTCGTGAGTGTAACCAATAAAGTGTCATTGTTACTTTTACTTACAATGTTGCACTATATGTTTTAATTTTCTTTTCACATGAGTCATCTAATTTCCAAGAAAATACAGAATACCTGAAACCTACGGTCTACATTTTATGTGATGTGCCTGCTTATATCTGAAATCCTGTGAGTGCAACCTTGAAAACATTTTTATGTTATTATTCTACGAGATTATTTTTTTTTGTGTGTGTTTGTTTGGTTTAGGTATATCTCTGTTTTAACTGATGGTGAATTTACATCTTTAGTGGACAACTGCCAAAAATAATGTAACAATAATAAGTATTTGATTTTATGAAAGCTTATTGGCTTCCACCATTCAAAAGCCTGCCACACACATAGCTGCAGTTTATACATAATTTAAATCAACTTACTTTACTATACGTAATGGAGTCAAAGACTTGACTTATTTCAGCGGGGGTGTTAACTTCTTCCTCTTTCGATGTCAGTGGATGAGAAGAAGCCAGTGCATCTACCGCCATTACTCTATGCACATCATCTAGTACTATCAAGTCTTTCTACAAGGATTTAAAATAAATAAAGCATTTAGCTATAGAACATCCAAACATTCTTTGTTACAATTGAACTCACCCAAAAATTACATAGGTGATGATGCATAAAGTGATTTTCATGTAGTGTGTCAGTCAATTTTGAATTTGTGTTCTGCCCACCTGGTTTGTTTCTTTGGTTTCAAAGGGACACAAGTGAGAATCTCCTATGGCCCAGGTTTTGTCCCCATGAAATCGGGAGATGAAGGAGTGTAGTTTCATGTGGAGTTAATGATGCACCTTGTATTGGAGTTGGTATGTTGGTGATTTATGGAAAATGTTTTTACCCTAACATATGTGTTAGCCAAGCTGCACATCAAGCATCAACATGAAATTTGAAACCCAATATGTTGTCAATTGATAGTATTTTCTTGCCAAGGTAAAGTTATTTTTGAGTACATGTACAGTCTGTAACATACAATCAATCAGTGTGCATTAGATTACTTTCTAACACTATAAAAAAATGCCAATTTAAGTCCCTTACAATATGTTTCACATCTGACTTCCACTCCATGATTTATACTTTGCTATTTGTCTGTTCTTTTAATTATAATTTAAGTGATTAACAAAAAAATGCATTTTGTTAAATAGTTATAATAATTATCTTGCACAAAGGAAAAAGAGCAAAAAAACAAACTTTCTTATAAAGTATTAAGGACACACAATCTTTTAAGTCCCCCCACAACACACAGCTCCCGACTGATGCCTCTTCTGCAACTGTCACTAGTCTAATACTATCCTTACCTTTTTGTGTCATTTTACCCCACTCCCTCTAGCATGTAAGCTCATTGAGCAGGGCCTTCAACCCCTCTGTTCCTGTGTGTCCAACTTGTCTGGTTACAACTACATGTCTGTTCGTCCACCCATTGTAAAGCGCTGCAGAATTTGATGGCACTCTATAAATAACATAATAATAATCTCCCCCTCTCCCTCCCTTCATACTAGCAAGCAGAAGCTACCTCTTCTGCTTGCAATAATCATGCAGCCCATAACAGAAAAGACAGTGGATGCATTGGATCCATAACAGAAAAGACAGTGGAAGAGACTTGGCGCACGCTGTCAACATTGTGCTGGGCTTTAGAGAAACAGAAATAGCATGAGTGTTTACACAGCGATTAAGTCAGCATTTACGGGTGCCACTCTTTTAAATATTGGAGAAAAACATACTATATGCCAGTCGGGCTCTGCATAATCTGCTCCCAAATATTCCACGTAGGAGGCAAAACCTTCATTCAGCCACAAATCATTCCACCATCGTATGGTCACAAGATTTCCAAACCACTGAAAAAGAGCAAACAAGGCAAAAAGGGTAATTACCTTAAGCATCACATGTTCTATGTTTCGTTATGTATAATGATTGACGGTTTACTCAAATATGAAAATAAATTCATGTAGTTAAGGGAGCTGAGAACATTGTAAAAATGCATGCTCCTTGCCCAGGTTACAGTGTATTGAGTTACCTGCCACTGTCTCCCTACACTTAATTCAATAAACCTCCAGCAGTCTGCAAAAATCACTGCAGCTACAATGATCAGCCACAGCATTAAAACCACTGACAGGTGAAGTGAAGGACCATGATTATATCTTTACAATGGCACCTGTAAAGGGGTGGAATATATCAGGCAATAAGGGACCAGTCAGTTCTTGATTTTCATACATTGGAAGCCGGAGAAATGGGCAAGCAAAAAGATCTGAGGGACTTTGACAAGGGCCAAATAGTGATTGCTAGGCCAGAGCATTTCCATAACAACAAGTCTTGTGGGGTGTCTCCGGTAGGCAGTGGTTAGTCCCTACCAAAAGTGGTGCAAGGAAGGACAACCTGCCATGGACAGCCAAGTCTCATTGAGACATGTGGGAAACAAAGGCTAGCCCTTCTGATCACACAGAAAATCTACTGTAGCTCAAATTGCTGAAAAACTTAATGCTGACCATAATAGGAGGGTGTCAGTATTACAACAACAATGTGCATAGGAAGGTACACTCTATGCTGGCCCTGATATTACGGTGTCAGTATAGGAGGGTGTCAGTATTACATAAACACTTTGCATAGAAAGGTACACTCTATGCAACTAAATCATATAACTAAGTAGGATACAAACCTAGGTAGACACATCCCTTAGTATCAAAATCAAGTGTCAAGAAAATATTACTATATCTTTAGTTACAAAACAATACGATGATTAAACATACAATAAAAAAAACAAAACAGTGAAGCTAGAATCTATACATGGTAATATCGTGATAAATGGATGGACAGATTCTAGCATTCTCGGTTATTTTGTTTATTATATGTTTTATAATCTTATTGTTTTTGTAAATAAAGATATAGTAATATATCTGGTGTGCAACCTGGTTTGTTATTGTAGATTGGTGTACATAGACAAAATGCAAAGCAGTTTGCTGCGAATGGGGCTGCATAGGCACAGATCAGTCAGATCATGATGACCCCAGTCCACCTCCAAAAGCACCTTCTATGGTGATGTGAGCATCAGAACTGAACCATGGAACAATGGCAGAAGGTTGTCAGGTTGAATCGCGTTTATTGTAGATCAGTTGGATGGCCGGGTGAGTGTCGTTTAACCTGTGGAAGAAATAGCAGCAGGATGCACTATGGGAAGAAGGAACAACGGAGACAGTGTTATGCTCTGGGCAATATTCCGCTGGGAAACCTTGGGTCTTGGGCATTAATATGGATGTTACTTTGACATGTACCACTTACCTAGAGATTGTTGCCATATGAATCCGTTCATGGTGTTCCCTGATGGCAGTGGCCTCTTTCAGCAGGATAATGCACCCTACCACACTGCAAATGTCGGGGCTGATCAATGTATATTCTCAGATTTCTGCATTCTTCTGGTTATACATCTTTTACAGGATGCACTTGCTATGTAAATTATAAGTGACTTATATGGGCATTCTCTTGCCATGAAAGGGCCCACAAAATGTTGCACTCATGTGGCTGGGAGTTGCTCATTAAAAAAAAAAGAAGCAAGACTGAAGCTACTTACAAAGCTATTTAAAGCTGGACTCTGGCTCCCACTAGATTTTCATGGCATTTTATCCATATTCCTGGGTTTTGTAGATTGATAAATATTGATATAATGCATTAAATATGTTTGTCAATTGAGGCATGAAGTGTACATTTTAAATATCTCCATGATGGAAAATAGACACTGGGCAGTCATTTCTAGACTACAGTGTCAATTGAAAACAATATTTAAATGTTTTTTCTAGAGATGTTTCTTATTTTTACAAGGTAACAGCCTACAGCCAAGACTCAATATTGTGTGTGTGTCAATTCTTAGTTAAAAAAAAAAAAAAAAAAAATTCAAATAAAATTTTCATTTTATTTTTTGGCATGTTTTGCTTTAGCATATATATTGGGATAAGAGTATTCCAATATGCTCCACTTATTAACTGGTGTTGGCAGTAGTCACCTTGACGCTCAGGTGCTATTTTCTCTTTTGCATGTACTTTGTGTAGTGGACCACGGGTTACCCGACTGGTTACCTCTGCTAATTCCTTCAGCCAGACTGGAACCATTAAAGCATACAGACATCCATTCCCCCAGTTCTAGGAGTCAACTGATTTATTTCAGGCCACACACGGCTTTTATACACAGACCCTTACATGAGGTCTCCAACACAATAATACAGGGTTTTCTTTCCCATGGTTCTTTGTGCCTGAGAGATAATTGCGTGCAAAAAATCCATAATTCAATTAACTCTCAGGTACAAAAAAAAAAAAATCGATACAAAATATACAGTACCCCAAACGTACATCCACCATAACTAGGAACCCCACAAAAGTTAATTCCCAGATAATCCTGATCTGAGTGTATATCATATACAAATATCACTCAGATCAGTTCAGTGAAACTGGAATGCCACCGGGGTAAAGTTATGACCGGCCAGACACAAGGTGCAAGCCAAAAACAGTTCCAGGGAAATAGGTTTCCTGGTCGGTCTCTGTTTGGAGGTTCCTGTGCAGACACCATGCAAGGGATTCTCTTAATTTCAGGGTACGAATGTTCCCCCTGTTCAATAGTTCCCATCTCCTGAACATCGTTCGCATAGTTGGTCTGGAAGTAAAACTGGCAGCGGTCTAATCTTTACTGGGGTTTGTGCAAGTGCCTAGATGAAAAGAGTTCCAGGCAGTCGATGACCTAGTGCCGCAGTCCACGTTCGGGAGAGAAAATGTCCGTCACTCCTTTGTCGACCACGTGCATTCGGTTAAACGAAATGGCGGCCACCCAGGGGAAGCATTAATTAATTACTTGCCTTGCAGTTTTGCACTTAAGTTACTGGTGTCAACTTTCCAGTGGGGTACAGGGCTGGTCCTTGTTCTGGAGACAAATGGAGGGTGTTCGTATACTATAACTCCAGAATGGAAAAGTGCAAAATAGTCGAAATTGGGAAAAACAGACGGAATTGGCAGTAGGTTCTGCCACACTTTGTGTGCGATGTTTGGGAAGAACTCACACTAGTATTGTAGCAGCTCATATACTATATTACCTCAGAGCACATTGTTATCTGAAATCCTTTATATTTATCATATACCCATATAAAGGTGTAAAGTGGTGCACATCGTCATCATAATTATTTATTACTGCCAGGAGTTTATAATCTAAAGGTTAAACTGGAGATGAGACAAGAGGTAGCAGAGGAATTTGTATGTGAGTGCAGAGATTATGAATAGTATAGATACACAGATGTGAAGTCAAAAGTTACCTGATGAGCAAGCTCATGGGCAATCACGGAGACCACTCTTTCCTTGTTGCCAATTGATGATACATCAGGATCAAATAGCAGAGCTGTCTCTCTGTATGTCACCAGTCCCCAGTTCTCCATGGCTCCAGCACTGAAATCAGGTAGAGCAACTTGGTCTGTAGAAGAGTTAGCAGGAGAGCGGTAACAGGATTTATTAGTAAAGAAATGTCTTATGTATGACATAACAAATGTATGCTGAAGAACACTATCATAAAATCTATTTCATAATTTAGATTTTTCTCTCTTCGTTCTGTAGTCTCTGGGTAGACATGGAAACTATTTTCTTTTCTTTTTTTTGAGAAGATACAAAATAATCAATACTTACATTAAAAAAAAGAATTTTATTAATGTGTTTTATATATATATATATATATATATATATATATATATATATTTTTTTTTTTATTTTTTTTTTTTTGTGCCAAACCATGATTGTGCAGCAGTAGGCTTACCTGACTTTGGCAGAGGATATGGAGTATTGTAATATTTTTCAAAAAACTCAAGGATGGGCTTGGTTTTTTCCAAAGCATAGTCTCCTTGTTTCTCATCTTCAATAGCTTTTTTACGGCCCCATATGTGAACCTATAAAATAAAACCCCGAAATATTTACATTCTGCAGGTCTGTATAACATTCTAAATTGTTTTGCATAACTACACATCTAAGAATGTAGGGTTTGGCAAAATTAACTTTTATGCAACTTATTGTCTTACAAGATGGAATTAAAAAGCAGTTATTGGAATCTACTTCTCATTTACACAAAATAGTCTTTAATGTTTAAGTAAGAATTGAATGAAATATACACTTTTTTGGTTGTTTTTCTTATAGCCCCTTTTTTGCTGTAACAATTCTAAATAAACAAACAGTCTCAGTAAAATAAAAAAAATAAAAAGTTCTGCGCTCAAACTCCCACTATTCTTGGGCGGCAGCAATGACCATAGTACACATCAGGCCCAATACACCAGTAAAAACCGAAGGAAAAAAAGTTACCTCCGCTCTCTTCCAAAACCCTATGTATAATTAAACAAATGGAGGTTATTTAGTTTCTCCAATGGCCATTGGAGGGACTGCCCGCCTGCCATGTCAAGGCAAACCTCTCAGGTGGGTCCTACACTAACATTTCACCTTGCTTTCTTGAGCTTCTGGCAAAGATATCTTTAATGAGACAGAGAGGGGTAGTTTTATATACTCCCTACATACTTATTAACCCTTAATAGGGAACACATGGGATGGGCGGCAGCATTGTAACATAGCTGTGTGATACAAAAGTGAATCCAAATACAAAAAACTCAAACTCAGAACTCAGTAAAATGCCTTCTAAAGTCATGTGATTAGTTAAATGGAGTTCATCTTTGTGCAAATGTATATACAGGTAGTCCTTACTTAGCGACTTCCCTGTTTACCAATTGCTCAGACATAAGACCAAATGCCAGAAATCCCCCAAATCGAAGTCTCAGGAATTCCCTTAAACATACATTTGAGGGATTCTCCACGCTAGAGAGCTGGTCTATGTTCAGAGAATTTACCCCGAACATAGAGTTGAGGCATTCCCTGCGCTAGTAAGCTGGTCTATCTTCAGGGCAATTCCCCCGGACATAGACCTGCTCTCTAGCTCTAGTGCAAGACCTCATTTACCGGCCAATTTTATGACCAAGTCGTAAGAATTGAAACTTGGTCGGTGAGTAGTGCCTGTATAATATAAAACATATATATGTTCCTATTCATATTAGGTATGGATGTCTAATTGGTTCAAAAAAATGTAATGATTAGTAATGATGAGGTTTAGGAATATACTAATAATGTGATGTTATTATGCACCTACGGAAGTGATACCATATTGCAACATTGAGTTGAATGGAACCTTCCAGGCAGTGTACAGGATCCAAAAAAGACTTGTACAAAAAGTCTAAAATGTTAATATATAGAGTAATTCCTTCCAATCCTCTCTCTTGTTTGCAATCATGCTCTTTACTAGACATGTCAAGCAGCCATAACACATTTCCTGCGTGCTAATTGGATACCTTTGGAAGATAGTTCACATCTTGATATTAAAAAGAGGGATGTGTTCCCATTATGGAATACAAAAATACAGTCCAATAATATAATAAATATTATATTCTTTATATTACTATTTATACTGCCATCTAATGGTCAAACTAGAACACCTTGGATGCTCAAGAATATCAGTTCACTGGGAGCAAGAATGCTACTTACAAGTGCCCTAGTGTTGGTGTAGATTTTTTTTACATTAATCACATTATTTGTTCTCCAGGGTCATTGAATTGTATTAGTAAAAGTTATCCCCCCTTTGTTAGGTTACAATTACACCTGTGATCTTGCCCTAATCAACATAAATCCCATAGATTTATTTTCTAAAGAGAGTTTAAAGTGAATAATAAAGTTAAGGCTGAAGTAGCTGAACTAGAATCATAGCTGTGTTAGGGAAGTTTTCCAATTCTGCTAATTTTACGGTGAATTAGAAATTCACTTTGAAATCACTCTCAATTCTCATTTTAGTGAATAACCCTGCTAGACTTGGGCCTTCGTTTTAGATTAAAATTGGCTTATTTGTCCTTTCGTCCGAATAACAGATCTCCGAATGGCACAATAAAGGAATGAACTAAACACACAAACAAAATTCTTCCATGCATGATTTTTCTAAAAAGAAAAATGCTTATTTCAGTAAATACATTTTTATAAGTGCTCCTGGCTGTTGGAACAAGAAGAGAGATCTGAAATTTGCTTCAATAACAATAATAATATGCTCATGATTTGCATGCAGAGAGGGTTTGATTTAAATCACTAGTCAGTAAGACTCGATTACAAACCTGCTGACATTTATTTTTATATTTATTTGTTGGAAATGTTTAATAACATACTGCACTGTATGAAAACTAAATGATGTCTTCTCACAAACTTGCCCTTTCCAATCACAATACTACTGGAGTTACAGACACGTTTCCTATGCCACTAAATGCAGTGCTTCTGATTTAATGGTTGCAAGTCAGGTTACCTTTTTTTACTAAGCAAGTCTGAATTTCAAGCCTGGTTCTATGGTATATAGAGAAGGGCAGACAGCACAGTAGGGAAGGTCTGATTATATTTACCCTGTTCCTGCTGCAGACCTTTAAAAAAAAAAAAAAAAACCCACACACAAACACAGAATCATTTTAATAGGACTGATAAAAATTATTTTTTATCACTTAACACCCCACCGGAGCTTTTAATGGAGGCTCATGAGCAAGTAAAAGGAACGAACTGATGATAATTTAAATTCTCCTTGTTAATTATCATGCAATCATTTCGTGATCTGGAAAATCAAAATGAAAAAATAAGCCAATAGACTGCATTGTCCTCCATCAACATATGCTTGGATATTTCTATGAGAAGAAATGTCTCTACGCTCACTTTCTGTACAAGAGAGGATAGGTTTTACTTTTAAAATTTCAAGCCAAACCAGGCCTTAAAAGTTACTTGCCACCGCAAGCCTTGAAGGTCCATGGAACGCACTCACTAGGGGTGAATTTCTAATCAACATTGCCAAATTTTCACTTTTAAAATTGAGCCCTGGGGTTAATATTTCTACATATAAGAATGTTCAACATTGTTGCATGTATTAAAAGTATGCTGGAAAACATAGGGCAATCATCGTGGAAACCACCAGTATATTTCTATGAAGACTTTTACAGTTCTACATCATACCAAGTTTGATAAATATGCCCAGCTGTAAATATGTTGTTGTTGCTGCATTATGATTGCATTTAAACTACCAAAATCACACAAAAAACATTTGGATCTTTATATATCCACGTTTTATTCTGAGTGTTGTGCTGTTATTTAAAGGTTTTTTTTTTGTGTTTGTTTCTATTTGTTATTATTTTTTGCGTCTTTGAATAGCACTATAGGATGTACAGAATCCTAAAACACTGAGAGACTTCAATAAATCTGGATCTATATGTAGCTAATAAATGACGTAATACTAGAACTGGGTTGTATTAGGAATTTTATGAGTAACTAGATTGTTGTTCTAGAGAAACATAGAAACATAGAATGTGAAGAACCAGTCGGCCCATCTAGTCTGCCCAATTTTCTAAATACTTTCATTAGTCCCTAGCCTTATCTTATAGTTAGGATAGCCTTATGCCTATCCCACGCATTCTTAAACTCCTTTACTGTGTTAACCTCTACCACTTCAGCTGGAAGGCTATTCCATGCATCCACTACCCTCTCAGTAAAGTAATACTTCCTGATTATTGATGTCCCGAACGGTTCGCCAAACGGTTCGCCACGGACTCATCATTGAGTAAACTTTGACCCTGTACCTCACAGTCAGCAGACACATTCCAGCCAATCAGCAGCAGACCCTCCCTCCCAGACCCTCCCACCTCCTGGACAGCCATTGTGAAGCTGCATTCTTAGTGAGCTGTCCAGGAGGTGGGAGGGTCTGGGAGGGAGGGTCTGCTGCTGATTGGCTGGAATGTGTCTGCTGACTGTGAGGTACAGGGTCAAAGTTTACTCAATGATGAGTCCGTGGCGAACCGTTCAGCGAACCGTTTGGGACATCACTATTCCTGATATTATTTTTAAACCTTTGCCCCTCTAATTTAAGACTGTGTCCTCTTGTTGTGGTAGTTTTTCTTCTTTTAAATATAATCTCCTCCTTTACTGTGTTGATTCCCTTTATATATTTAAATGTTTCTATCATATCCCCCCTGTCTCGTCTTTCCTCCAAGCTATACATGTTAAGATCCTTTAACCTTTCCTGGTAAGTTTTATCCCGCAATCCATGAACCAGTTTAGTAGCCCTTCTCTGAACCCTTATTGTTATTATTGGATGGACATAAATCAAGTAATTGGTTGGAGAATCTAAGAGTCTAAAGCAGAGCTGCCCAAAAGGTAGATCCCCGGATGTTGTAAACCTATAACTCCCATGATGCTTTGCATGCTTTTAGAATGCTTTAGAATTACAAAGCATCATGGAAGCTGCAGCTTTTTCACAACATTACCTTGTTATATACTTCTCCCTGTGCTTATATTTTATATCTTTCTGCTGACCACTTCTCTTCCACCCACACATGCACTAAAACCCTAACCTGACAAGGGGTCGCTAATCTCACAGATAAATGGGATTCCTTTCAGCACTTTAGGCCTACACACAGTGCATGATTGTTTATTAAAGCGGAATCTGTCAGAAATTAAAAGTTAATGTCAGGTTTTAGCCCAAAGTAGTTAATTAATAAAAATGTGAACAATTTTTTTGATTTAGCTTGGCGTTCACTATAAATAAATAAAATAAATAAATAAAATAAAAAAATTTAAAAAAAGGTAATTCACTTTGGATTCACTATGGAATAAAAAAATAAAATAAATCACATTTCAGTTAATAATCCTGTTAGTAAATGAATCCATATAGGGTTATATATTTTTATACGATAGTTGTGATTGTTCTACCCCAGTCCTGTGATCCTGAGCATTTATTGTATTCTGCATGATAAGGAAATCAGCAATAAATGTTATCTGCTTCTTATACTCCAAGTTTTAATCAAAGAGTTCATTTATTATCACAGCTGATAAGTGTAGACCTTGCACCATTTTACTACTATGTATAATTTAGATTATAAAGGGGATAACTAGACAAGCAACTGCCAAATCCTACTTAGGTTAAAATTGCAACAGATATGGTGTGTCATGTTTAACTCTTTGCTTGCTTTCTGTAATCAACTTTAAACAGAATTCATATTTCGTGTAATATGCGTGCAGATTAAATCCTGTAATAGGTGTTTATGGATATGAGGAAGTACAGCTTGGGTAGAAGATAAAAGTCATATCAGGTGACGTTAGTGTGCGCACCCTTGTCAGAGTTAATGAGATTAAATAGATATACTTTATAACTACATGTCACAAGTTAATGTACTTGTGTCCTCCTATAACATCACAGACTGATACTAAATTATCTTACAATAGAATGTGACGGCAGATAAGAACCATTCGGCCCATCTAGTCTGCCCAATTTTTTATAAACTCACTATAGGGAGCTATAGTGCTAGGACAAAAAAGGTTTTCCTAGCATTATAGAATCCCTTTAAATACAGTTACCAAGCTACACTGGAATGGTTCAAGACAAAGAAACAAGAACGTGAGTGCATTAGAATGATCCAATCACAGCCCTCAATTCAATAATAGAGAAAAACAGCATTATATGGTCATATGCCAAGGTTGTAGTAGCTAACGTAAAAAGATGTTTCAAAAAGGTGTTTCAGTCAAGTACTGTGTCAAGGGGCGAATACCCGTCCAACAGCATTCAGTGTTTGTTGTTTTTAAATCGTTTTTTAAGTCACAAGATGTGTTTCTTAACTTTCAGGCTTTTAAATTAAGCAAGTTAAATTCTGACCATTCCAATCAAATATCACTTACCCCAGTTGTGGTACTATTCCCAGGATCACCAATAGATTTAAACTGAGAAACTATAAATGCCACAAGGTATGTGGACATCTTCAATGTTGTGTCAAAAACCGTTTCCGTCCATGGTTCTCCCTCTTCAGTTATATTTGTGTGACCTTAAGCAATGGAAACACGAATGTCAGAGAAAATAATGTACCAAGAGAGTGTATGGCTGTTAGGGCTCATGCAATTTCAGTTGCCAATATAGTGCCAACATATTCTACACTGTAGATCACGTAAAACAAGACAAAAACACATTTGACATATGTTGACATACAGAAACAGTAAGTGAAGAGGACTTTGACAAAATTAATTGACTATCTAAAAAGTACTTTAAACCTTTTATCTTTCTCTCCCTGAATCACAATATATTGTTATCTGTTGAAGGAATACTATTGTCACCAAAACAACTTCAGCTTAATGAAGCATTTTTGGCATATATAAATCATGCCCCTGCAGTCTCATTGCTCAATTATTTTCTATTTAGAAGTGAAGTCAATATGTGTCGATTTATGCAGCCCTAGCTACACCTCCCCTGGCTGTGACTGATAGAGCCTGATCGAAAAAAAAGGTTTACATTTTCAATAAGATGTTAACTTGCTTTGGAAGGGTTTATCTCTGACAATAATAATAGTAATAATAATAATAATAATAATAATAATAATAATCTCCTACTCCTAAAGGCTATTAAAAGAGCAAGAGATAGGTAATTCTAATTTAAGTAGACTGTGCAACAAAGGAAGTTCAAACAGTAGATCTCTCTCTACAGGAAGTGTTTAGGAAGGCTGTGTAAGTCACATGCAGGGAGGTGTGACTAGGGCTGCATGAACAAAGTGATTTAACGCTTAAATAGCAGAGGATTGATCAGTGAGACTACAGGGGCATGATCTATAGACCAAAAAGGCTTCATTAGGCTAAATTTGTTTTGATACCTTTAGTGTCCCTTAAAATATGTAGACAATATCGGTTTTAAAACAGACACTTCAGAACTGGAAGCATGGAACAAATCACTGATGAAGGTCATAGAGAATATCAATTGCCAGAAATTCAATGGGGAACTGAAAATTTTAGTCCAAATTATTCTAACATTTAATATGGCTGACTTTAAACTTTTTCCATCTTAACTCTTTTAGACAAGATCGTACAATTCCCAGTGAAATATTTAACAATTTAAATTTTAGAAAATGAGGAAACTGTTGTTTTTCCATTTAAATTAAAACAAAAAATAGGTAATATATATCTATATACCATATCCCTCACCTCCATTTTTCTAAACTAAACAGATTTAAAATTTGTTAACCTTTCTTCATAACCAAAATCTTCCATTCCTTTAATTTTGTAGCCTGTTGCTACAAAACAGTCTATCGCAATGATGAGTTGGGGATACTGATAATATCATCAGTATACCTGAAAAGTAGGCATACATACAGTTGAATCAATTAAATTCATCACAACAGATTATTTGGGTACACATACACACGGATACAAAACAAACTGGCATTTGCACTTCAAACATTTAAATATCAGTGTGGCAGCTGAAAAGAATAGTAGAGGGCAAATAAAATAATTATTTTTCTTTACTGTTATTGTGTGATGAATTTCATTGATTAAACTGTATAACTACTTTTGGGCCACCCTATTTGTAACCAGTTCTGACCATTCCAAATCACATTCCTTAGGCATCACAAAAAAAACACTCTGAGCTGGCTTCAGCTTTATTGCTCAAGGTTTTAGTTGGATAAGTGTTAATTCCAACCGCAGAGAACTTTAAGATACCCCCCCACCTCACAGATCATGGATAAGCCGGGAGATACTAGAAACAGGTCTTACATAAAATGGTTAAAAAAATAAACAATAATTTATCCTCCGGAGACCCAATCTATTAACTTGTGTCCTCTATACTGGACATTTGGTTCATATGTATCTCCTTTTTTTCTTTTGAGTTACTCTATCAATCCCTGCTGTATTGTAAAGAGGATATAGTGGGCTTTCCAGTGATATGTCATGTGATAGGCTGGGAACTTCCTCTTCCATTTCATCAAAAATGGAAAGAAATTATTTTCCCTCGATTCCCATGAGGATATTAACTGTAATATTTTATTTGAAATAAATAAAAAAAAGAAAGAAAAGAAATTGCCTCAACTCTACCCTTACCTTTCTACTGTCAAGCTATATGTGTTGTGTTTGTTACTGATATGTAGTTACGTGGAATATTAGACCTATGAAAAAATAATTTTCAAAGTAATTAAACACAGTCACTTACTGATAGGATTCATGTTTGATAGAGCCACATAGTCTGATTTGTGTACAATGGTGATGTTGAAAGTAGCTTTCATCGCTGGTTCATCAAAACAGGGAAATGCCTTCCTGGCGTCAGGAGCCTGCATCTGTGTGGTAGCGATGATCCTGTTAGCAAGAACATATGTTAGCTGGAAAAGTGGTTCTGTGTCAAAGTGAACAGCAAACATAGTAATCTAGTTTGAAAAAAAACTAAACAAACAAGTTAACCTTCACACATCTGTTTTTGTGGGTTATCCAAAAGAAGACACAATCCCTTGAAAAAGATAGAAGCCATTTCCAATTGTGCGAACAAAATTCCTTCCCAATTCCAAAATGGCAATCAGATCTCTCCTTGGAACAACATGATATTACCACATACATTAATTATACCCAGTACCATCCAGACCTTGTGACAGAATACCGTTACTGAATGTCATCCCCAAACGCTGATTGGTGCAAGTTGGTTTCGCGCCCTTTCTCTATTGGCCAACGAGTGGTTTAGGAAATTTGAATCCACCGGCCGAAACTAAGTGATTCTGTGGAGCTATTTTGGATATGTACAGAGTCTTAAGTCCAGACTTTGTACAATGATTTCTCTAGCTCTGTACATCAGATAGCTCTGCTATTTGCAGGGATCATAGCTGGGACCAGGAGCTATTTTGGGATGTATGGCATGTGGGGATGAGTTACTGTCTTGTGTGTATTTTTGTGGATTTGGTGTGTTCGGCTTCCTGTGTCCGGGAGATACCATTATCTCCCAAACACAGCGACGCCTGGGCGGGCTTATGTTTTCATGTTACTTTGAATGGAGACCCCCTGCTGGGGGTCTGTGCATAAATACCGTGTATCTTGCCTGAAATAAACAGTTCTATTTCACCCTTCACTAAGTCTCGACTAGTGTTTGGGTGATACCATGATTGCCCTCCTGCAAGTGACTATAATCACTAGCTAGTAGCTATAATCACTCTAGGGCTGGGCACAACTAGGAAGGGGCGACCACAGGTGGTAGTAACCCATCCTCAAGAGGGTATACCGCTACAGACCTTTCTTTAGAAAAATTTTTTTTTACAGAATCCGATAAAATACCATTTGACACATGTTGAGATTTACATAAATTCAATTTAAAAAAATAATACTTCAGACACTAGAGGATAAATAATTCTTCCTCTTCTTAAGCATTAATTTTAATACTTAACTTTCTGAATTTATGAAGAAGGTTTGCATGGTTTAACATATTGAATAGCAGCAGTTTTGAAGAAATGTTAAATTGAAATATATTTTGTTTAGAAAAATGGAGCCTTAGAAGGGATATTATTGTTATTATTTATAAAGCACCAACAAGTTCCGCAGTGCTGTACAATGGGATTATAGCATTATATATACATGCACACATATACATAAATATGTTGCCTGGAAATAAATAGGACTATACATAAGATACAAGGTCATCCAGTTATACTAAAAATAAAAAGATTTATTTTAAGGCAGGAAAATATTTTTTACAGTAAGAACAATTAATTATATTAGAGTCTGTACAGATGTTAAAACAGAAACTGTATGAAAACTTGCATAAACACTTTATGTGTGCCTTCTTTTGGATAAACAGCAAGGACAGGTGTGATAAAGGCTGACTTGACGGTCACAAGTCTTTTTTCAGCCTATGTTAACAAGGAGACTCCTGAGACAAAGTGTTTTAATTGCACTCTCAATTGTGGTACCACACATTTTTAGACAACAAGATAATTTAGGATTGATAATGATAAATTTACTAATACGGTTATTAAAAATAAAGACTAATGAGGGTAGAAGGCTGACGTAACAATCTATTTATTGAAGAGGAAAAGATCTAGTGTCAAAATGGAATGCCCTATTCATTTAGTGGGTATCAAACAACTACCGAACAACATTCCATATCGACATAAGGGCTTTACGGAGGAAATGAATAAAATAATAGATTCTCAAGAAAAAAGTATTTATACATTTATTCATAGTCGTGTTATAACCTGCTTTTGTGATAAACGTGGCAACACCAGATGTACAGCTTTCACAATTTGCAGACAGTTTTTGGGTTGACTAAGACTGCCTGGGGAGCAGATCACAGGAACTATGCTGCTGGCTACCCCTACACTGTACTATTGTGTTTTATTAATTCCAACACTTTACTTGGGTACTCCATCTTCCTCGTACTCACTCCGGTAAAACCCAGCAAGGTCATCTGCTAGCTCTCCAACAAAACCGGTGGATATGGAATACTTTTTACCAACTTCCATGGGGTGTTCAGCATGTAGCACCAGATACTGTGTTACTGGCACTTCTTCTACCTTAGACACTTTGAGACTGTTCCCAGCACTATCCCTGAGAGTGGCTTTGGGATTTTCGGTGAAATTTAGCTTCTTACTGTGGATAATGACAAGGTTGGTTGCTTCATTACAAGTAAAGAAAGCTTCACTTTTTCCATGAAACACATAGAGTCCTTCAGCATTCTCCTTTAGAACTGGACGCAGTCGAACATTATAATGATATGGTTGAAGGGTTTTTGGAAGCCGGTATTTGTGCCATGGTTCACTAGATGGAGTGGTGGAGATGATGGAACCCGTCCCGGCTGTATGTGTTGATCCACTTGATGTTGCATTCTCTGGTCTGCTCGGTGTAGCACTTGTGGGTTCACTAGGCTTGGACAGATTACTATTTTTGTCTTTTTCTTGTGCATATACAACAGCCAGAGCTATAATTGTAGCAATAGCAGCTATAGAAAACAGGATGCCAACAACAGCAACCACCTTGCTGACAAAAAAACCCTTTCCCATTGTGGCAGAAGAAGGCTTGAAGAGTGAATGGAGGAAATTGTCTTTATATCTTTATATCAAAAGCTGCAGGGGTCTTACTTGTGCCAAGAAAATTAAGTAATCATGAACGGTGTAGGGTAAAGGTTGTGTGCAGATCTGATATAATGATATTTTTATATCTTTAATATCCGCCCTGAAAACAGGACTGAGCTGTAAATCTGCTGTGATCAAACAATTTACTAGATGATGAAATAAAAAAAAAAAAGAAGAAGAAGATTTGGTTATTGAAAGATAGACATTCAGCAAACAAACAAATCTATCTCAGTTAAGCAAATACCTCAGCTACATTTGTTCTTCGAAGGTTATTCACTACGCATGAAAACCATATTGGAAAACGCTGTAATATATAACTGTACTAGGGAAATTTTCTGAACCAACATATTTTGCTTAAATATCATGAATAAAGGAAACTATAGTTCCAGAAAACCAAAGTTTTTTTCCTGGTACTATAGCTCCCAATAGTGCCCCATATACCAAGTTCCCCTCCCTTGCCAACATTAGCTGGTGGGGAAGAACTAATATGCATGCGTGGCAATGGCCTCGCTTTCATTAGTACTTACCCCATAGGAAATCATTATACAATTCTTTCTTATGGTGTTTCGGGTGACGGTGGATGTCCTCATGCATTGCAGAAGTCCATCTAGTGGTTGTATGGTAGACAGCCACCAGAGGTGGAGTTAATCCTCAAAAGGTAAATATTGCAGGTTATTAAGGGTTAAGGGATCTGGGAATATGCATCCAGACCACTTGAATTAAATATAAACTGAAATAACTGCAATTTTAATAATAAAAAAAATTATATCAACTTTTAGTAAACCTTGTCCGTCCAGATTTATTTTTCTCTGCCTTTCTTTTTACTTGTAATTGCCACAGCAAGAAATGGAGGTTTAGTATTTGGGCAGTGGAGTGTCTCTTTAAGACTGAAAGAACAGATCACACTGGTCTGAAATGACTCATTTATTAAGGATTTATGGTTCACACAGATGGTGCTTTTTAGTGTTCTATTCTGAAATGCTTATTGATCACTGGTAAGTTAGTAAAACAGATCTTTATATCCTGGCAAGTTAAGGTTTGTGCAATGATTTGGACCATCTGGTTGATTGTAGTTAGCCCGTTGGCCTTATCTATGATTAAATATATCACCATCATAAAAGGGTTTCTAATTTTCCACTTTAGTAAGACAGGTTAAAATAACACTGCACACATATAGCATTTCAGCTTGCTTTATATGTCTGTAGTGTCATTTGGGTGCCAATTTCTAAAAAGGTGCAGATTTAAAAAGAAAATCAGCATTTTTATAATTAGGGTCTCTGGCTGTCACTCAATGGATTGGTACATGCCATACTACCTTCTCAACAAACTCTATTACAGCTCATTGAAAGCTTGCAGCCCCAGCAGTCTGTACAGGAGAAAAGGGGGGGGGGGAGGAGGAGGAGTGGCTTTACAGGCTGCAGACAGCAGATCTACAGCTTTTGCAAGTTTATTTCCTTATATACCTTTAAAAGAAAACATGCATATTTTCCTGGGGGGGTATATCTACACTAAAAAGAAATAAATAAATACATACATTTCAATTAAGGAAAACATTTTTATTTTAGTTTTTTAGACAAAATACAGATTAAAGGTACTGATTAAGGTACACACACAAATAATATTAAGAGTTTTTATTTTACAAGGCTACTTAAAATCACTGCATCACTGTACCCCAATAATAGTGGGTCCTACACTAGCTTTAACATTGGAGATCAACATGCTAATACTTACCGCTTCCAGAGTTTATCCTCAAATGTATGCTTTCCTATGCTCACCTTCAGTGGAAGGGTGGGGTGCTTATCCCAAAAGAAATCTAGTCTGGATTCCAAATATACTCTGAAAAAATAGAACCAGAGGCACACCTACAGCATGCATTTCTCAGCAGTGGTGCTAATGTAAAGATCAAAATATGTTTTAAAATAAATGTAGAGTAACCCCTTAAAGGAACACTATAGTCACCTAAATAAAGCAGTTTTAGTGCATAGATCATTCCCCTGCAATTTCACTGCTCAAGTCACTGTCATTTAGGAGTTAAATCACTTTGTTTCTGTTTATGCAGCCTTAGCCACACCTCCCCTGGCTATGATTGACAGAGCCTGCATGAAAAATAAACTGGTTTCACTTTCAAACACATGTAATTTACCTTAAATAATTGTATCTCAATCTCTAAATTGAACTTTAATCACATACAGGGGGCTCTTGCAGGGTCTAGACAGTTATTAACATAGCAGGGGATAAGAAAATCTTAATTAAACAGAACTTGCAATAAAGAAAGCCTAAAAGGGCTCTCTTTACAGGAAGTGTTTATGGAAGGCTGTGCAAGTCACATGCAGGGAGGTGTGACTAGGGTTCATAAACAAAGGGATTTAACTCCTAAATGGCAGAGGATTGAGCAGGCAGGCTGCAGGGGCATGTTCTATACACCAAAACTGCTTCATTAAGCTAAAGTTGTTCAGGTGATCATAGTGTCCCTTTAAGGACAGAGCTTCAGAAGCTTGTCTTTCACTTAATGACAACAGCATTTTTTAAATTTTTTGCTGTTTGCGTTCAACTGCAATTTGCATTTTACTAATTTATTGCATCGACACATATTATATATAGTTTTTAAAGGACAGAAAGGGCTTTAATTTGATGTAACACACATATATATAAATGCTTATTTATTATAAAAAAAAATACAGAAAAATGCCAAAAAAAAGAAAATATTTGTGTTTATTTTTTTTTTTTACAGTTTTTGCAATAATAATATGTGCATAAATAGTGCAGGTTAAAGAAAGTAATTAAAAATAAATTCATTTAGTTGTTCTGATTTACAGAATATATAATGTGTCTGGGATTTTAAGTTTTTTTTGGTAGTTACAGGTCACAAAGCACAAGGAGTAAAATAAATGTTTAATGTGGAGCGATTTTAGAATTTTTTTTTTTTGTCAATCTCTTTTTATTGAAATTATTTTTATTTTTTTTATCGTACCCATGCGGGTCTTGAAACACAATAAACATACAGTACACTTATTCATATATTGCAATATAAGGTGAACAACAGTGTGTGAACATTAGTTAGTCACAGAAGGTGTGGACCAGCATTGGTACATTATCAGGAGTGTTTGAACTGCTCCGGGAGATAGGCTGTATGGTAGGGATGGGCTTAAATGCAACTCTGTCGGGTTGTCGAGTTATGGCCTTTTTCTAAACGAACCCCTAGTCCGAGAGGGCCTCGGTGGGGGGGGGGACTGGATATGGAGCGGCCGGTTTTTTTTTTTTTTTTTGGAAGGGGGAACAAGTAAACTGGGTATGGCTCAAGGCTAACTGATCATAAACATCTCGTCTTTAGCTGAACAGTGCGTGTCTTGGTTGTTGATGCCTCTGCGGCTCTTGGGGGAGTCAGGCCTCCGGTGTAGATCATTGGTTGGTGTCTTGCGTGGGTGCTGGAAAGCCCAGTGCCTGACAGAATGCTGGGAACTCTGTGAGTGTGGAGAGTTTATAGACAGTTCCGTTATGTGTGATCACCAGGTATCTGGGAGATCTCCAGTGGTATTCTATTCCCGCTTCTCTGAGGGTGCTAGTCATTTGGTTCAGCAATCTTCGCCATTGAAGCGTGGATCTGGTGAGGTCTTGGTAAATGGTGAGCTGTGCGCCCTCAAAGTTTAGTGGCGTCTTACCCCGAAGAGCCGTCATCAGGACTCTCTTGTCTTGGGAAGTGGCACAGCGTACAATCACATCTCGGACCATGTTTGGGGTTGTTCTGTCTGAGGGTGGTAGGCGGTACATCCCGTCTGTGTTAAATTTTTTAGCATGCGTTGGCGGCAGGATGGCGGCCACGAAGCGCCTCAAATAGTGAGGCAATTCATCTGATGTGATGGTGTCTGGCAATCCCCTGATCTTAATGTGGTTGCGTCTTGTCCTGTCATCGAGGGCAATATAGTGGAGAGAAAGTGCTTGTTGTTGGGCCTGTAGGGCCAGTACAGACTCCTGTAAGGTTGCTAATCCCAGCTTGATGCCAGAGACATCCTGCTAAGTGGACTGCACCCTGTCAGCGATGGCCTTCACATCTGTTTTAATGGCTGCTATGCTGGTTGCCAAGAGGTTTTTGATTTCCCCAATTAGGTGTTGAAAGTCCCGTTGGGTGACTGGGGCAGACCCATCTGGAATCCCCATGGGCGTTTGTGGCCTTTCTGGGGATAGGTCAGGCTCTGCCCCGATTTTAGAATTTGGTATGTTTGTCTTGTAAGCTTAATAGCCATAAAAGAAAACAACATTGCCACACAAAAGTATATATTTATATAAAGTAGACATCACAGGCTATTTACCTAGGGTTGTTTTCTACATAGCCATTTCAGCGCCAACCTCTGCTAAATATTGTAAAAATTGTGTTTTTTTCGGTTTTTGGCACACAAACTTATAACAAAGAAATTCTCATGTGTATTTTGTAAAGTTGGTGTGTGCTATTCCTGTACAAAGTTTTATTTTGTGTTCAATTACATCTGCTGAGTAAAATGACACCCCCAGTTTGACTGTTCAAAAAAGCCCACAAAGGCCTACCATTTGTAAAAGTAGACACTCAAGGATATCTCATAATGTGCATATTGTGCCTTAACATGCCCCCATTTTTTCACCAATATATGCCAAAGTATGTGGTAAAAAATTATTTTGTGCGTTTTTTACACATGGATTGCATTTTTGCTGGGCATTTTGTATATTTCACATGTGCCACTAAATTTAAACCCCCCAAATTATGCTCGGCTAAGTCTTCTGAGTAAAATGACACCCTCATTGTATGTCTTTGGCACTATTTCGTGAAGCTACAGTGCCATATAGGAGACCTGTCCGTTTCAGTATTCACAGTAGAATTTTGAGAGGCGGATTTAATGAGCCTATGCTTCCATTTGGGGTATTATACCAGTTTAACTGTTCAAAAAACCCCACAAAGG